GAAGCAGTTGTGTTTGCATAGCTGTGTTTCGGTTTGAAGGGTGATGTGTGATATGGCGTGAATTTACTGGGTACAGAGGAATAACACCTGAGTCCTCAGGAATGGCAACGCATGGGGGGTATTATGGGCGAAACAGTATACTCTGTTATGTCCATGGTACTGCTCATGTATATAGGCGACGGTTACCACTTTCCATCAGGTGGGCTGTCAGCTTGTTTGCCATTCTAAGTTGTATAAAAAAAAAACTTTTATTTCCAAAAATAATTATCAAAATTGATTCAAAAAACGGCGAATATATCACGTAACATACAAAAAATTAACACAGTACAGAACAGTACGAATCCAGAATCTACTTCGTTTTGAAATCACTTCAAAACGTGTAAAAAAAGCATAGATATAGTTATAAGAAAAAATAGGAACTTGGATATTCCATACCACGTTCATAAACGATATGCAGCTTGCATTTTACACACAAATATAGCGGGCCGAATGTAAACCGAGATGCAAGAGCACCAAACAAACAACCGGGACACACGTTTCCGTTCTATTCTCGATTGCAAACATACAGTTTAGGTATTGGCCGCAAGTAAATAATCCTGCATGAATGCTTTAGTTCCAATAATAGAGTGTCAATCAGTGACATTTGTCTAGTAGCAAAAATAGTATCAATATCACACGTTCTCGAGCACCATTCAGTAATGCGTCCGAGCATCAGTCATAGGGCACGGGCCGCGGCCCCAACGCCAACAAATTTGATATAGAGATAACATCAAGCATGGACATAAGTAGGTACGTAGCTTTATCATAAATTATAGGTACATGTAACCAATATATCTTTATTTGTACTTTTATAAGTAAATTGTGAATACTCAAAAAGTCAAAGAAGATAAAAAAAAAATGCCAAATTAGTAAATTTTAAGTATTGTTTAACTATCTGTCCTAATTGTCTGTTTTTAGTCGGAAACGGATTATTACTAATGAGGTCTAACTGCCTATTGTTAGCAATATACTGATATGGTATCAGGTCAACTTCCACGTGGTTCCCCCTAGAAACCATCGTGATTAATAATTATGGAATTCGTCACGATGAGCTGACTTGCTTCCTCACCTATTATTCCTGATTGGTGCCCCGCAATTAAGTACCGATACCGCAGGCGGAGTGTGTATTTCATTTTCATACATTAAAAAAAAATATTACCTCCTCACGAGAAGGCTGAAGTGCTTGTAAAAAAAAACCATTTAAGTATAGTCTATTTCTATTTCCACCCAATATACAATTAGGTAGGTAGTACTAGAACAATCTTACACAGCGCACTAAATTAACATCGTGTAAATATATGTACATTTTGCGATAGATGTAATACTCGTATGTATAAAACATGATTTTTTTATTGTGTCATCTGTTTCTAACAATATACATATTGTTTTTGTATTGTACAACATACTGATGGAAACGTTTTTATACGGATATTATAATTAGGGTTTTTCCGTGAGAATAAATAAAGCTGTATTCTTATAGTTTTTCTATGGACCTCATCAATTATGGGAATACATCAAGTCAATCGCTAATTGCAGTCGAAATCAAGGGTAAATTAGGTAGGTAATATAAAATAAAAATTTTAATTACTGATTCCTTATACTTATTATTACACCAAATGCGGATTTGGTGAAGGTCTACAAATTATTCTGGAACGAAATAAAAATGTAAAAAAAAACACTTATCAATTCCAGGGATATTTTTGTCACACCTTTTCTATCACTTTGGTAAAAGAGTCAAAATTATTATAAGATATTAATTATTGAAAGAGAGAGAGAGTGAACATGATATTTTTTTTAGTTAAAGAAAAAAGTATTCAAATGACTAATATTTAAATTGCAATACGAGCACATTTAGAAACTCTAATATATTTTGCTCTACAAACTGCTAAAAAGTTTGCAAGTCTTCCAGATTTTCTTGTAAATCGTTCCAATGTCTAGAAGCAAAATAATCGAGATGCGCGCTCGAGACTCCTAATTTATAATCAATGTTGTGAGACGAGGAATATCTATGTATCTGCCTAGTTACATGCACTATTATATAAATAAAGTTTTCCTAGAAGAAATTCCGAGTGTAGCGCTTCGCAAATGAAAACAGAGTGATATCATAGTTTGATTATAAACGAACATAATTGTTCTCTGTATAGAACGATCGTGATGGTAACAATGCATACTGATAATATTCAAACGGAAGGAGACTGTCTGTCCGTCTGTTGTGTTTTCAAGGCTAAACTACTCATCAGCCAACTGAGATGAATATTGATATGTAGCGACAGTCTTAACTACTGCAAAATCTATACCTTCCTAAAGGAACACATTTATCATCTATTATTTTCAATCATGAGCAATTTCAGTTTATTTTTTATATCAAGAAGGTGGCAAACAGGCATATAGCCTATCTATTGATAAACGGTCATTACAACCTATGGACGCCGGGGGGAAAGGAATTGTTAGCAATGGAGTTTGACAGCCCCATTGCTAGCAATATGCCCGATTAGGTCAAACCATCGTGAACAATTCTTGTTAAATTCGTCACGATGGGCTAACTGACCTGCTTCATACTCACCTATCATCCGTTACTGTTAATGTTATTAAAAAATAAACCTATGGACGCCTGCAACACTAAGGGTGTCACGTGTGCGTTGCCGACCCTGAAGAAATATTAATACACCTTTTTTTTTTAATGGATGATAATGAAATGGTAGCCCCGACTGCGCTATCGGTATACACTGGCGGGACACCAGTGAGGGATGATAGGTAAAAATAACAAGTCAGTTAGCCTCGTGGTGAATTCAACGATAGATTAGTTACAGTAGTTTCCAGGGGGAACCGCGTGGAGTTCGACCTGATAGGGTATATTGAGAGCAATGGGGATTAACCTCCCCATTACTAATACACCCTTCCTCACCCTAATACACCTTTATTAAAGAACCTCATACTCTATTCATACGTAATTTTTAAAGAAAATCTAAGCAGGGAGCTTATTCCTCGGTTAGAATGTTTGCAAGAAAACTTTAAAACTGCACTGTACGTAACCATTTAAGTTTTAATGCGTGAGGATGAATTCACTTTATATATTGACTTTATGGCGTATACAGTCAAATGCAATAAAAATATTTAATATTAATCGCTTACAGTCCGAATCATAATAATAGTACTCGTGAAATGATAACTGAGCACATTTCTTCAAAGGAACACGAAATATACAAAAAAAAAAATTAAATCGCTCGAAGTAACAACCGGTAATATTCTTATTTATATATACTTCGTATTAACCTTCTTATTTACTAATATTTTAAATGTAAAAAGTATAATTGTTACTCTTTTGGCACCTTAACGTCTCAAATAATTCATGAAATTTAATATACACGTATAATATAGGATGGAGAAAATAATAAGCGACGGTTATCACTTTCCATCAGCTAGACCTTCAGCTTATTTGTCATTCTAAGATGTAATAAAAAAGGTTATTTTTTTATTCCATCTTAGAATGACAAATCAACATATCCCGGTCACGCAGACATATATATATATATATATATATATATATATATATATATATATATATATATATATATATATATATATATATATATATATATATATATATATATATATATATATATATATATATATATATATATATATATATATATATATATATATATATATATATATATATATATATATATATATATATATATATATATATATATATATATATATATATATAGCCTTAATCAAAGACACCGGTCACAGCTTATTATGTACATAAAGTCGAGTTAATTAAGATACTATTTTTTGTAGCTGAGGGCTACGGGATACTGGGAGGTCTGAGCGCGCAGTCATCCAAATATGTACTTATAAAATGTCTTGACAGTCGACGCACTACCATAATCATGTGAGTATCAACATCAATATATTCCACATAAATAATAATTTAGTCATTGCATTCTATTAGACATCGAAAGTATCGAACTCAGATCTATAAAATACTGTCACTAATAAATAATAATAAATAAATAAATGATTTAATAAGTATATTATATAATTTTTACAGCAACGGTGACCTCTTTCCGATGGGTAGGCCGTCAGCTTGCCATTTTTAGTTGCTTAAAAAATTTTAAAATTCTGTTCCAAGAAAATAGCGGTTTTAGTTGTTATTGTTATTACACGACTTAATTTTATTAGATTTCACTGTATTAATTTTAAGCTAAACACTATTTATTATTTTATTTGCATTACCCAGTAGATATTTATCGAGTGCCTTGCCTGTGTACATTTGTTTACTTCTGTATATAGTCGATGATGCGTGAAGCGCCATCTAGTAACGAACTATCAGAAAATGGATAGTGTGAAAATTTTAATATACATATACTATTTTTATATTATATATTTGCCGTGTGATAACAGCATAGAATAGGCCGCCCCTTCCTTTCCCGTTGCTGTCATAAGAGGCGACTAAGGGAGGGTGAGGGATGGGGAGCAGCGTCTTTTTAAAACATCTCCAAAGCCTAACTGTGATTGGCAAACCGTCTGCCAAGCATGGCAACTACTGGCAAATCCCCCCAAGAGAGAGGTCTATTTTTAGCAATGAACAGATGATAGCTGATGATGATATAATATTTATAATATATTATTCCTTAGACAACTGTTATACAGACACTTTGTTTTTATTATTGACATGAATCTAAAACTATAAGTGAAATAATGCAATTATAATCTAAAAGTATGAACAATATTAGTAATTAAAAGCATTCATGCACCTATTTAATTAAAAAAATGATCAAATATTTACACATCTTCTCAAAGGTAGAATGTATAAGGGCATTACCCATCTCTTCTATGTAAAAATCACCTATATTCTAGTAAAATAAATTCATGTAATTTCGGGTAATAAAAATGGACCTGGTAGAGAGCAAAACCTTTGCCGGATCATCTAAATTGGTTCTAAATGTGCTTACCTTGCTGACTAGCATATCAGTCTCGTCGAAATGTCTGCCGAACATCTTGGGCGACTCGCCGGGGATCGGATCTATCTTGATGCACACCTCTTGCCCCTTGCGTGCCGACTCCACTTGCTTGTGGTTCACTTCAATTGATGTCACTATACCCAGCTCCACAAACTGTCCAATAATGAAATATTGTCAATGGAAATTCAGCCTTGTAACCAGAACAGTAAGAGTGCAATCGTGAGAATTGTTCTCGATGGCGTGTCAAGTCGTTGTATTCGAAAACTAGACCATTGTTATCAACAATAACTTTCCTAGAGATCTATTTATATAATTATTATTGATTGTGCAATAAGTGGAAATTGTGTTAGTACTATAAATCTATATATTATCTATTTAGTATAATACTATATTAATTTTTCTATATTCAGCGGTTTCATTTTTTTAATAAAAATCAAAAAATTTTGGACAAAATAGTGTTTTTCAATTCATCTAGTTGCAATGTAAAATACATAATTATTTTGATATTAAAGCCAAATACACTGTGTATCATTAGCAAAATTTAATAAATTAATTGCATTAGGCGAATATAAAATATTACTATGGTAATACATTTATATATTTTACAAATTAGAATATATATAGGCTGTCATTGGAAGTGGACAGAATCTGTACTAGGATACCCTGTGTTACAGTATTCTGGCCCTCACACTCGGCCCCTGACTATACAAAGAACAGGTAAATAAACTATAATATAAAAAGTAATTATAAAAGGCTAAAACGTAAAGTAGAAACATAATCTCCAAAATGAACTGACTGTATGGTTTTCAATTACATATATATATATATATATATATATATATATATATATATATATATATATATATATATATATATATATATATATATATATATATATATATATAGTAAAAACTAATTAACGCTTTGGACAAAAAATCAACTATATATCTTACCTCTTTACTAGGTACACAGATAGGCGTACCCTCCTTTACAATTCCGGCTTCCACCATAACACCAGCCACAATAGGGTCACGGGAGTTGAACACGAATTGAGGCAGCACCTACATATAATACATAAATAATTAAAAAAAAAAACTTCAATTGTGGCAAAACTAGTTTTGTTTTCAAAACTAAATTACTGAACCGATTTTAATAAAATTTCTATGGAACCAATCTGTAAGTATATCCTTTCAGAAAAAAAAAATCCAAACCAGTTTACAAACTCGATGGAGTCATGCAATAGCAAACATAAATACAACTAAACAAAAGGAGGTTCATAACTGTAATCACATCAAAGTTGAATACCAGATGGATATGATATGATGGCTGGTGCATACAATTACTATGAATATTACACATAAATTAGAATCTAACGTGATATGGGGCGAGTATACATCACCATTTGGATTAATTTTAGTTTTTTAACAGTGACTTCTGTCATTGGAGAATTATTGAATTGCGTATTATTCAGTCAGTTTGTTTTTATTACCTCTTAGTGCTTTAACTACCTAACCAACCAGTATGAAATTTGATATACACATATGATATGCTATATATTTATTTATTGGAATGATACACAGCAGTACAATATTATCTTTATACTAATATTAGTACATAAGTGATATAAATGTACAACCAATATTGTTACCCATGGAAGTATAACAAGACTGTTGCTGGGATTAAAACTGGGACAAAACTCACTTAGGTTACATTATTAAAATAAAATTATAACACCTGTAACCTGTTTCTTGCTAAATATTAACCAAAGATACTAAAATTACCAATAGTGATTATACTTTTTACAAACTTAGCAAAAGACTAACTTTTAAAGAATTAATAACATCTCCATCTGTTAATAACTTTTAAAAAGTCATTAACAGATGGAGAAAGACAAAGGATATTTTTTATCTCAGTCAGCTAACATATTTCGATCACACAGACGAAGTCGCGAATAAAGGCTAGTTTTGCATAAAACAAAGCACTGACTACCTCATCTAAGAATGGTGTACATATCCAAATTTCATTCAAATCTGTATAGTAGTTTTTGTGTGAAAGAGTAACAAACATGCATTCACACATCCTCACAAATATACACAACAAACGCGTTTACAACGGTAATCATCATCATTTCAGCCATTATCCGTCCACTGCTGGATATAAGCCTCCCCCATAGACTGCCATAAAGAAAGGCCTTGAGCCATCTGCAACCACTGACTCCCTGCAATACATTTCAGATCGTCACTCCATGTAGTAGGGGTCATTCTACACTGCGTTACAGCAGTAATAGGATTCTATATTGTTTCACCTTCAGTTTACACGGGAAGACTGCAATATGTTTGAACTCTTCCCTCTTCTTCTGCTTCAATTCCTCGCGGTAAGCGGTAAACTTGTCGAACAGATGGTAGATGATGTCCGCCGCGAATATCTTCACGCCGAGCTGGTCCGCCATCTCTTGGGCGTCGCGCTCGATCTACAATATTGTACCGGATTAATATAACTCACGAAACCGTTAAATACATCCAGAGTTTATATAATCATTGATAAAATAATCAATGTGTTATTAAAAATAAACATAGACTTAAATTGTGAAAACTAAGTCTAAATTGTAATTAGTAGTATCTAGTAGTACCTAGTCCTCAAGATTGGCAACACGTGAGGGGTGTCATAGGCGACACAGTGTACTTTGTTATGTCCACGGTACTTAGAATAAACATTATAAGTTGCAAAACAAAGAAATAGACTATCTCTTAAAAAAATTATAAAAAAGATGTAATAATAATAATGCATACTGCATTATTTTTATAAAAAAATATTAAATGTAGTGGTTGAAATAATTTTTCTTTCTTTCTAACATACTTTTTCGAATGGTTGAAAATTGAATGGTAACCCTACCTGCGCTATCGGTACATGCCGGCGTAGCACCGGTGAGAGATGATATAGGTAAGGTAGAAAGTAAGTCTGGTAGCCCAACGTGAGGAATTAAATAAAAATAATAACTAGGATGGTTTACAAGGAAACTGCATGGAGGTCGACCTGATAGGCTGTATTGCTAACAATGTGGATTTTAAATCCTATTACTTATCTCTATTATGTACCTTTTCCCCCACGATTTAACAAACAGCCTCACCTACTGACGCTCGTGGGTACGATCCTCAGACAATACAAACATTTGTATCATCATCAACATGTCAGCCTTTAATTGTCCACTGTTAAACATAAACCTCATTTTTGGGGAGGTTTTGCGAGTAGTTGCCACGAATGGCAACCGCAGTTAGGGTTTGAAAATTATTTAAGAGGGGTACTGCTGCCTATTCCTCGCCCTCCCTTAGTCGCTTCTTACCATACCCACGGGAAAGGAAGGGATGGCCAATTCTAGTATGTCAGGAGGACACAGAAAAACATTTGCATCCATGAGTATATCAGTGTGTATTGATCTTGATCTTTTCTATGTTTAATATATACATCAGTTGTCCAATCCTATGGTATAAGTGTTACCTAGTTTGGGACTAGATGGTGTTGTGTGAAATGATATTATTTATATAATTATATTATTATTATTTAAAAAAGCACATTAAATTTAAATATTAAGAACACTTACCTTAACATCGAAAGCTAAAATAGTAGCGTACTGAGAATCATGTTCCAACATGGCGGACGCTTTCATTACGTCACGCTTCACCACCGGTCCTATCCTGATGGCCGAGTACTGTGAATGTAAATTTATTATGTTAAAAGGAGTTACATACTTAAGCTCAAACAATACTTATTTTACTTCATATAAAAATAATTATTCAGAATGTCAACATTTATGAAACTTAAAAAAGTTTCCTTTCTTTAAGCTTCAAAAAGCTAAAAAAAAGGTGCAGTCAAAATATAAAACTTCTGAAATTTTTACAAAGGCACGATTGTTTTTCATAAATTTCTACCTTTCATACAAATTGCATGTCATATAATAAATAGCAGGTTCAACTATTTTCAAATTTTGATTACATTCCTTGAAAATGTAATAACTCACAGGAATTTTACTAGTCCTGAGGAATTCCAAAAGCGCCTCGAGCGAGCCCAGCGTGGATGCCTGCACGTACACGCCGCGCTCTGATAGTTTGATTGACGACAGTGCAGTTTTCAGCTCGCGCGCCACCTCTTCCCTGATAAAATATACAACCAAACCCAATTAAATACCTTCGGCCAATCGAACAGCATACATCTAAGGCATAGAATGCTTTATAAAATATCAAAAATTGCAGCTATCATGCATTTAAATGATATTACATATACATTAGTTTTATTTTCGAGTATACCAACACATATTAATGGGTTATTGTAGTTAAAGGTGACACAGAATTTTTGATATTAGGGCACGTCACATGAGTATTACCAATACTCAAAATGATCATGACGATTATAAAATATTTTACTTACTTCAATATATCTACTTCATCAGGTTTCTGCGCCACAAGCAAATTGAGACCGGCAATAGCTTTCTCTAACTCCTTAGCGGCAATTTTCACGCCTTGCGCACCAACTACTTCTTTGTGCTCGATGTATGCGTTCTATAATTGTGAAAATATAAGCATTTTTTTAAGATAAAAGCTCAATAATACAATCTGTAGCTAATATGGTACATGGAACCACGCAACATAGCTGTGTATATGATGTATTTTAATTGACGCGGTTCATTAGATTTATTTGCAGATTGCAATAAAGTACACGAAAACCCGTACTAAAAATATATATTAAATTTGTAAAAATTACATATACTTCATATTGACAATATTTTAAGATATGTTCGGATACCGTAATCCTACTGAGTCTGAACCTAATCTGGCTACGCCAAAGTTATATAGTCGAATAAAGCAATATAAATCAATAATTTGAAATGTTAAAAAAATATATATATTATATTAGAAAAAGTTAATTATATTTTGTTCATACCTTAACCCTGAGTTCCTTCATTGGTTGCGGCATAAGTAAGGAGCGGATCTGCGTGACAATTGGTCCTTCGGTGCCCGCCAATACCATGGTGTCTCCCTCGCGGAGTGTGCCGTTGATCAAGATCGTATCGATTGTCGTACCCAAACCTGGGATGGCTTTCACCTGGTTATTAATAATACGTAATTAGTACTAATTATGATTGACACCGAGTACAAAAATGCAAAATATTCACGGTTGATGACTGTGCAAATATAGACAAGTCGCGTGAATATTTAGAAAATACATAGCTGAATGTACTATCTCTTTAACCTCTTTGCATATTTTTGTTAAATTTCTTTTATTCACAGAATCTAAAAAGTTATGCTTGAATTTTCTAAGAGGTTAATAAGACTCACCTTACATAAATCATGTAAGGTGATAATCATACATAAATAAAAATTTTTACATTTACATTCGCCGGGTTATACAATGCAAATCCTATTATGATTTGTGTACAGCAAGATTTTAACACCACTAAATTCTACAAAATAATGAAGTAGAATAATAAACCAGCACTAATGAAGGGCAGTATTTAGGTTATTTATTTAAAAATATGTGTACTATATGTATAGGATACAGAATCTTTTATATAGGCCCTGCGTCTCACATACTTTGTATAGCACAAAAGTCTATATAAAGGGTGCCCAATGTCTATCCCTTCTTTTATCAAGAGGAAATATTGATATAGTCTAGTGCAACAACTTCGTTTAACATATTTTAACGGCTGACTAACCTCGAGCACAGTGGCGAGCAGCTGATGTGAGAAGACCAGCCGCTTGTGCAGTGGCCCCTCGCAAGCCTGCACGATCATAGCAAGCAGGTTACCCATACCTTCGCCCGTCACTGCTGATGTGGGCACCAGCGATACATAGGTACGTGGGTCCGGGTTATCGTAGAACAGCGCCGCGTTCAAACCCTGTCGGAGTGGAAGGAATGGCATTGTTATTAATGGGAGCTAATAACCCTATCAGGTGAAGCTCAACAGTTTCCTCTAGAAACGCGAACACACACGCACGTACACACACACACATACGTGTGTATGTGTACGTGCGTACACGCACAGACACACACCCACACACACACTTGTATTATTAAGGAGCCCGATGCGTAACAATGAGCTCCATTTTATAGTAACTACAAAACTTCTGTATTTGATTCATTCGAACACACCTGTTCAGCAAACTGAAGGATAACATCTTTGCTCCGCTTCTCAAATTCCAGTTGCGTGTTAGTTTGCTGCAATTTAATTATATCCCGAACATCCTTCCTTTGTGCACTCTGCCAGTCGTACAGACGGTCAATCTTATTTAGCGCCACAATAAACGGCGTCTTCTTTTGTTTCAGCATGTTAATAGATTCAATTGTTTGGGGCTCCAGCCCATGCATAATATCTACTACCTGTAGTAAAAACATATAATAATAAAAATTGTTAAAAATATAGTTCAGACAAGATATGGATAATTATAATACCCAAACCTAATTACAGAAACAAACACATAGTAAAAATAAATGACAAATCATATTGATCCTACAAATTAAATGAAAGGGTACAATAATAAAAATTAAGACTATAGGATCCACATTGTTTATCCTTATGATACAATATAGAATGCTTGAAACTAAACAATAAAGCTTAAAATTGAAAATTTAAAACATCTTCATGCTTCACAAACAAAGAAATTTAGTCACAAAAAAAAGTATAAATTAACACGTGATATACTTATATTTAAAGTTTTATATACTATAAGTTTATTTAAAATTAATGGAATTATTGTAAAAAAGCATTAGTATTTTTTTTTTATTATTTATACTGAGCCATAAATATTATTATTTCTCAAGTCAGAACACATATTCTTCTAGAGATTTCATTAAGTATCTCTATTAAATAATTTATTATAATGTAATGACATAAAAAACTCTTATCAGGGTTACATAAAAAGATAAATTCCATTAAGTACCAACAATCTTCAGTATACACATATTAAAATGAACATGTATGTAAATCAATGTTAACTTACAAGAATAGCAATATCGCAAAGGGAAGATCCTCTACTCCGCAAATTACTGAAAGACTCGTGACCAGGAGTATCAATGATAAGTAGACCAGGTAGTTTGAATAATATTTCGTTCACCTGAAATTGAAATCAACATTACTACAACAAATATTATGACCACATTATTGACCACAGCTTTGAAATAGATAGCATGCCCTGGAGTTTAGCTCATATCTGCAACTTTATAAGTTTATTTATTCTTTATTGACCACATTACAAAAAAAAAAATTTGAAAGAAAGAAATATTTTTATGCAAGTAAACTTAGATTTCAGCATTTTTGAATCGGCTTTATTTGCATGATTTTGCTGCACATTATCCGGATAGTTCAATGAGCATGACTTACTCGAGGCACCCAACCATGTCATAGCCAAATTAAATTATTTCATACTACATAATCGTTATAATATAAGAGGCGAAGTTAATGCTATTTAGCGTTCTTTCCCAATCAACTTTTGGAAACAGAAAATATGTAAAGAAAAATATTGAAAATTTTACTTGGTTTTTTAATATTCAGTAATGTAATAAATAAGATATGAAATAAAGATGAATAAAGGGCTTTGTGCTCATTTTTTTTTGCACATTAATTTTAAACTAATCAAATATTTAATGCAGTTGCATACCCCTTTAACGTGTTTTGTCTGTTCCCTGATGTTCTCAATTGGTACATTGGTGGCACCGATTTGCTGCGTGATACCACCTGCCTCACCGTCCTGCACGTTGGTGCGACGCAATTTGTCCAAAATCTTTGTCTTGCCGGTGTCCACGTGTCCCAGGACGCATACCACGGCCGCACGGAGAGGATTGCTAGCTTTGTTTGCTTCATTCTCTTCGCGACGTTTCTAGAAATCGTGCAGGATATATAAACTTACTAACTAACTAAGCAATCATTGTTTTACCCCCTACTGCCACTTACAGGTCCCATTTTTTCTTATTGGGATAAAAATTAACTCATCTCTCAAGTCAGACCATACCACACATATTTACAAAATGCGTTGAGCTGTTTTAGATTCATAAAAATGAATATTGTTAAATGGAATATTTATATATTAAGAATGATATTCTTTATTACACACAAAAGGACGGTAATAATTATAATTAGAGAAAATGTGAGCAAAGATGAACTTACAAAAGAGATCACTTTCAGATAATCTAACATAATAACATGGAAAATAATGAACATATTTTAAGACAACCTTTGGGATAACAGAAATGATAATGGAAACACTTAAATGCAATAAAAACAAATAGTTTTTTTATGCAACTTAGAATGACAAACAAGCTGACAGCCCACCTGATGGAAAGTCGCCTATAGACATGAGCAGTACCATGACATGACATAATAGAGTATACTGTTTCGCCCATGATACTCAGGTATTACTCTTCTCTACCCTATAACGTCACTGTTATATCCCACCCTTCAAACCAAAACACAGCCATACAAACTGCTTTACGGTAAAAATACGTATAGGACAAAGGTGCCCAAGCAGATTATACAAATCAGTGAAAAATAAATTACTACATAGGATTTTGATTTTTTTTTTTTATTTTATGTAGTATACATTATTACAAAATATTTTATTAATTTGAAATTACTTGACATGTGACAAAATAGTAAAAATAGTAAGAGAGGATGAGGGATGGGCAGCAGCATCCCTCTTAAAACATCTCTACAACTAATTGCGATTGCCAATCTGCCTTTCAAAAGTGGCAACTACTGGCAAAACCTCTCCGAGGGTGAGGCTTATAATCAGCAGTGAATAATTAAAGGTTGATATGATGATATTGAAATTCTGTAATATTTACATGTTTCATAAGCTTTCTAAAGACCATGTTTAGACCACTCGTGGAATCAGTAGATTTTATTGTGCACAAATAAATAATCAGAATGTTTGCCTATTTAGAGAAGCAAAATATTATCTTTAATAATTTTTATCAAAATTTCATTTTACCTCCAACCTCTTCAGAACAAGTTCTCTTTTTTTCTGTACATCAGTCATTTGATCATCATCAGAATCTTCTTCAGAACTAGAATCCTCATCAGAGCTCTCATCATCTCCCTCTTCAGAACTATCATCATCCTCTTCATTCTAAACATCAATATAAAAATACAATATTAGTTAAAATGTAATAAATTAATGTAAACATAAAAACTATTTACATAGTGATCAAGCAAATTAATATACTTACTTCCTTAGATTTTTCTTGCTCAGCTGTTTTATTTTCTTCCTTTGTTGGAGATGGTACAGGTTCAGATTTTGGTGGTTCAGGTTCCTCTTCTGAAGATTCAGCATCCCACGCATCTTTTACAGATTCATCATCAGATTCTTTTTTCTTTTTTTCCAATTTTGGGGATTCATCCTATTTAGAAAAAAATAAATTTAACTTAAGTATTTCAAAAATCACAAAAAAATATATAGTAATTCAATTAGCAAATTATTTCATCACACCTTCTTGTCTACTATTTCAACTTGTACTTTCTTATCCTCAATAGGAGTTGCTGGAGCATCTTGTGACATTTGACTTTTTAGTCTTTGTGGCTTTATTCTTGTACCAGGCCTTGGAGGTTTCTTCTCTGTTGAACCAATTTCAACACCCTGTGCTTTCAAAGATTCCAATAGTGCTTGTGCTCTAGCCTTTTCAGCTTTTTGTTTTGGCGTGAGCAACTTGCCTTCTGCTTTAAGTCTTTCTTTTCTCTCCTTTTCTTTTTGCTTCTTCCTCTCTTTTTTTTCTTTTTCTAACCTAATTGCTTCTAATCTTTGACGTTCGCGTTCTTCCTCCTGTTTTATCCTTTCTTCTTCTTCTTTTTGCAATCGCTCTTCCTCTTCTTTAACTTTTTTGAGAGCTTCCTGCATAGCAGCAATAGTTTTTTTGGTAGGCCCTCCTTTTTTAGTTTTCTCTTCTTTTTCCACCTTTTCACCCTTTTTCTTCTTTTTACTTCCTTCTGTTGGTGCTGGAGTATCGCCTTCTCCATCTTTCTCTTCAGAACCTACTTTACTTTGACTGCTATCTGCCTTATTAATTACAGGTTTGTCCTCTGTTTGTACAGTTGCTTTAGTAGACTGTTTTGACTCATTAGATTCTTGTTTATTTTCCTGTTCCTTCTCTTTCTTTTTAGCTTCTTGTTTTTTTAATTTCTCTCTCTCCTTTTTTTCCTTCTTTTTTTGAGCTGCTGTTTTAATAGTTATGTCATGTTCATTATCACTAGCCTCATTTTCTTCAATATTTTTTTCAGGCTCAACTTTGAGTTCCTCTTTTTTACCTTTCTTTTTAGATTTTGACTTTTCTTCAACTGGCTCTACTGGTTTATCAGTTTCAGGAATCACACTAGATTCCTTTTTAACACCAGCATATTCCATTTCCAGTTCCGCCAATACCTTTTCTATGTCCTCATCACTGTCATCCTTCTTTCTTTTTGATTTTTTACCTTTCTTACCAGCAGGTTCCTTTTTTTCAGTAGATTTTTTTTGTGGTTTTTTAACAATATTTTCATCATCTGAGGAAGGTGGAGCTTCAGGAGGTGAAACATCTGCATCTTCTATTTCTAAAAGAGCAAAAGCACTTTTCTTTTCATCTTTCTTTTTATTTTTCTTTGGCTTTTGCTCTGGTTCCTCATCAGACTCATCTACAAAACGTTATATATAATAAATAAATATCACTGGAGTTATTACACAAAACTATCTAATCCCAAACTAAGCAGAGCTTGTGCTATGGATACTAGACAACTAATAGATACTTAAAGACTTTCTATTATTATACATAGATGGCACCCCAACCAATAAAAACATTCATATTTATGAACATAATTGTATTGCATGGAGATTGAACTTGTGACCATCTAAATGTGAAGTAACATCTTAAGCTTAATAACTACGATGGTCTAATGATTACCAAGGTCATAAATAAAAGTATATTTTAGTTAATGATGATAATTATTTTAGTGATGTTTTTTGGATGAGCATATTAGGAGACTGTAAAGCTCACCCAGTTCATGAAATAAATAAATAACATGGAAACATACCTCCACTGCTGACATCTTTTTTCTTTTGAGACTTATTTGAAATTGATACATTCTTAATATTCTTTGTGACTTCTTTGACATCCTCATCCACAGATTTTTTGTGTTTAGCTTTCGCTTTAGGCTTCTCATTTTCACTCTCATCAGACTCTATTGTAATTCTAAAAATTACAAATATTTAATTTATTTATCTAAGATATAATACACATAACTTATTATTAGAAATAAAAAATAACTTATAGTTGTAAAATACACATTGAGTATTTAACAGATAAATATACTGACCATAAATTTGAAGCTACATTTGTTTTTTAAAGGTTTAGTATTGAATAATCTAGTTTAAAATAAAACATTTAGATATTTGTTGCTTAAACATGTGTAATCAAACAAATTAATGTATGTTATACTTTTATACATAGAAAAATTATGTAAGCACATCCCTTAGCACCTCTAATTTAGTCACAAACATTTTGATTAATTTTGACACTGACAACCAAATTTGCATTCATATCACAATAAAATTGTTGAATGTAGTTAAATATGGTTATGATTATTTTGGCATAACATATTCTATCTTAGCCTTCTGGATTTAGATCAAATTAGTTCCTTGGACTACACGTGATATTTTTCTTGTTTTGAATTTAATAACCTATATAGACTACATTTGGTTGCATATTCTACATAATCAAGAGAAGTATTCATAAAACAGTTAACCTATAATCATGTCCGCACTCACTTTTTACCCTTCTGTGCCGGCTTCACGTTGTCAATATTTGTTGTTTCCACATCGCTATCGCTGAAATATACGTAACTTTATTAGGACGTATCGTACATAATAGCGATCAAAAGAGAAAACATATGCAACACTAAAACTTACCCATCATCCGCACTGGGATTCTTCTTACCCTTTTTAGCTTTTCCCATTTTAACTCCAAATTTATATTAAGTCACAATTCCTACAATATAATGTTCAGTTTCTGTATATTTAGTAATTTCTATCATGTGAAACGTAATCAATGCACAGGTTGTAGTACTAAACGAGCCGAAAACGATCGAGTCGTCGTGTATCCTTCCTTCACGTTCGGAACGTCAGAAAAAAAGGAAAACCCGAAATGAAATGAAATTTGAGTCTATGTCAAAATGTTTTGTCATATTATGTCGTAGAAAGACAGTACAGTCATGCTTCCATGTACTATCCTCAATCTATGGTATCGTTATATTAAATCCGGCGGATTTTATTTAAATGGATATTTTTTATCAAATCAATTTATAATATATATATATATATATATATAAAAATATAACATAATTAAGAATATAATATAAACAAACATTAAGACATAGAAATAGATAATTTATAACGATTTGTATGGGGATTAGATATTGCCACACATCTGTCATATGACAAATATCAATTCATGACAATTCTTCAATATTGAAATTAAACAGCATCGAGAGTAATCTACAACTCATTACCAATATATATTTTAATTACCATCGTCTGCGATATTGTAATGTCTACAATATGCTTATCATATACCCTAACTTCGTCTCTGCATTTATATTAGTGCGAATGTTATGTAGACATGTGAGCTTTGGTGTGCCTTTCAGTCCTCATGCTTGGTCTGCTTCATTATTATGTCTGTGTTAATAATCTTTATATATTACTTTCCCATAAAAAGAGAATGCCAGTATAACATTCAGATATAGCATAGTAATAAAATTCCAGACAAATCATCATATTGAAGACTAAGCAGCATGGTTTTCGACCTTAGCCAGTACCACAATGGAACAAACGTACTAAAAAAAGCATAGTAATCTGTGCTGTCATGTGCTGTAGCTGTCAAACACAGAAAATGACAGAAAAATGACAGCGAGGCGGGAAACTCGAATAAGAACAAGCGGGTTTTTTAAATTTTTTTATTAATTTATAAAAACTATCTCTATCAATTCTTATTATTGAATAAAATATTATATTTTCACTAAATTCAGTGACAGTAATATAATTAGCATTCATGGGGAAGCGCAGTTGTAGGAAAAGGAAAAAAAAAAGATGACGATTCAGGTGATGTAGACCATGAACCTTGTAATGACAAGGATATATATTCGGAAGATACTTCTACTGACTCAGAATCTGAAATTGATAAGGCCGATAAGTATAAACCTTACTACGTCACAGATTATATTAGAAGATATCCCGAGGAATCCCCTGGGACAGAATTTGTTGTCTTTGTAGAATCCTCAGATAGTCAGAAAACCATTGGATCCAGAGACTTGCTCTCACTCTCCTCCTGTTTAAAACGTTTTAATAAAGGGGTAACTTATCTTAGATCTATAAATAAATTCAAAATCGGAGTATACTTTCAAAAGCCAGACTTAGCCAATGCTTTTTTAAATAATAAAACTTTTTTAAATGACTACCATTTTAAGGCCAGTATTCCTGCTTCTTCAACAGAAGTTACAGGCGTTATTAGAAATGTACCTACAAATATATCTAATAAAAAAATATATACTATGATATCGAGTTCTAAGAAAATTATTGCTATTAAAAGAATTTTAAGAAAAAATACCTTGACTCATGGATATGTGTTACAGCCAACTCTAACCGTGACAATTACTTTTGCTGCATCTGTATTACCTGAATATCTGGATATTGGAGGTTATTACAATGTCACTCCATATATACCACCAGTTAAACAATGCTACCGGTGCTTGAGGTATGGACATTTAGCTAAATTCTGTAAGAATTCTGAGCGTTGCAGCATCTGCAAAGGTGAGCATAATTATAAAACTTGTACAACTGGAATGGAAAACGCTATTTGTGTACACTGCAATGGAAATCACACAAGTGTATCACCGCAATGCCCTGTTAAACAAAAGGAAATTGCTGAAAATAGATCTAAATTCAGACCTGCTTCTTTTGGAGATATACTTAGCACTGAAATATTTCCTAAACTGGGTAACAAACCTAAAAAAAATGTAGACCTAATTTCAATTCTAAATTCTGATAACAAGAGTTTATCACTTTTAATAGAAAGCATAATCAAACTTATTTCACTACATAACACAAAGAACACATCTATTAACACTAAAAGTGTTTTGAATGTGTTATATGATACTTTTGGTAATAGACCTATTTCACAAAATTCAATCGAGACCAATTAACTATCATACAGTGGAACGCTCAGAGCCTACTGAGCAATCGACATATTTTTACACAATTTTTAAATGAACATCATATTCACATTGCTCTCATCTCAGAAACTTGGCTAAAACCACATTACAAATTAAAAATTAAAGATTATTGTATAGAACTTAAATGATTGTGGTAATAACCACAATGGAGTAGCGATTATTATACATAATAGTATTAGATATAAAAAACTTCACTCTTTTTTCGACAATTCTTTGCAAACTATAGCTATTAGTATTGAAGTTAATAATTCTTGGTATTCAGTTGCCAGTATTTACTGTCCTACCAATAGTACACCTAGTTTTACTAAAGCCAAATTTAAGTTCTTTTTGGAGTCTCTTCCTAAACCCACTATCATATCTGGAGATTTAAATGCACATCATACTATGTGGGGTTGTACCTCCACTAATACAAGAGGTAAAGACATTCTTGATTGTTTAGATGAATGTAATTTGGTACTATTAAATGATAAGCAAGTTACTACTGTTGGCTCTCATATTTGGAGACCCAATGGCCTTGATTTAACTATGGTATCCCCATCCATATCATTAAAATGCGAGTGGTCGGTTCATGATGATCCGTTAGGAAGTTATCACCTGCCGACTTTTACTAAAATAAACACAAAGAACTCTTCATCAACTCCGTCAGGTGAACAACATGCTCCTATAGATGAAGTTAATAAACTTTTGTTAAATCGTATAAACCTACGTCTCGTTAATTGGGATCTTTATTCTGAAACTGTTAATCAATTACTTTTGGATTTCGAGTATGATGTCAATGAACCCTTAAACAATTACAATAAGTTCTGTAAAATTATTTTGACAGCTGTGGAACGTTCCGTTCCACGTAGGAACTTATCAAATAGCGGTGCAAATACTTCAAAGAGGCACAAACATATTGCAGTACCTTGGTGGAATAACAGGTGTGCGACAGCTGTCAATGATAGTAAAGCGGCTTACCTTAGGTTTAAACAAAATCCAACTCTCGATAATTACATAAATTTTAAAAGAGTTCAAGCTGTTAAAAAGTTAGTAATTAAGCAAGTAAGACAACAGGGGTGGCAGGAATTTTGTTCCAAATTTAATAGATTAACACCAATTTCCACTGTTTGGCAAAATATGAGAAAACTAAATTCAAAACATCGTCAAAATCATTTTAAAGATATATCATGGGTCAATGATTTTTTACGCAAATATACTCCTGATTTTGTACACTCACCTTTTGATGACAAACAGTTTAATTCTGTTAATTCATGCCCAAAATTTCTCACTGACCCATTCTCAATTGATGAAATATCCAGTGCAGTAAAATCTAGAAAAGATACAGCTAGTGGCCTTGATCGCTTAACATACAATATGTTTCGATTGCTGAATAAAATAAACCTTACTAAACTCTTACAAATTTTTAACGATTTATGGAAGGACTGTATTATCCCACCAGAATGGAAAATGGATTGTTTGATTCCAGTAATTAAACCCGGTAAAGATCCTACAAATTTCGACTCCTATAGACCTATAACATTGACGTCCTGTGCAGGCAAATTATTCGAACAATTAATTAAACAGCGTTTAGAGTTCTTTATTGAAAGTAATAGTATATTACCATCGAATCAATTTGGTTTTCGCCGTGGATATTCAGCGCGCGAAAGTTTAGCGAACTTCTATGTCGACCTTAGTACTGCTTTGAATAACGATGAATATGTTCTATCTGTTTTTTTAGATGTCGTAGGAGCTTTTAACAATGTAAATTTAACAGTTCTATCTTCGATTTTATCCTCATTTCTTCCAATGAAACTTATCGAATGGATTTATAATTTTCTTAGTAATAGAGAAGTGTATGTTAAAGTAAATAGTAAATTAATAGGACCTAGGTTAAGCTCTAAAGGAGTATGTCAAGGTGGTATTCTAAGCCCGCTACTATATATTTTATATATCTATAAACTTAATTCAATTTTAGGAAACAGTGTGAACAACTTGCAATTTGCCGATGATTTATTAATTTATATAAAAGGAAAGAATATTATTGATATGCAATTAGTGTTAAATGAGTCATTAAAAAGACTTGAGAAATATTTTTCTCTTCTTTCCCTCGATATTAGTTTAACCAAAAGTAAAGTAGTTGTTTTTCATCAAGTTCATAAATATGTTCCATTAATGAATATTATATATAATAATCAAACTCTTCCAACAGACTGTAGCGTTAAATTTCTGGGGGTAATTATTCATCAAAATTTAAAATGGGATCTATACGTTGATTGCTTAGTAGATCGTGCTTTAAGAGCCACTAATATAATAAGATCTGTAATTGGTCGTAACTGGGGAGCTGATCCTAAAATTATCCTTTTACTTTACAAATCTCTTGTTAGAAGTAATTTTGATTACGCTTTCTTTTGTTATGCCTCAGAACATAAATTAGTAGAAAAACTCGAAAAAATTCAAAATATGAATTTAAGACTTATTTTAGGTGCTATGTATACTTCTCCAATTATCTCAATGCAAGTAGAATGTAATTTGCCTCCTATCCTTCTTCGTTTCGAATACCTAAAACTCAAATTTCTCTTCAAAGTTTTTTCAGTTTCCAATAACCCACTCATACTCAAATTATTAAATTGCCCCATTTCTATGTTTTTGAATAAAACTATTGTCAATGATTTGAATTTACGAGATGAATATAACATCTATAGTAGTAAGATACTTCCTTGTTATAATGGCCTTTATGAGAGTAAGTTCTGTAAGATCAAAATTGTTATACGTAAAGACATAAAAGAAAAGCACGATATGTATGAGACTTTATCAGAATTTATTGACTACAGGCAGATATATACAGATGGTTCCAAAAATGCACTTAGCACTTCAGTGGCTTTTTACGATTTGTCAAATAGATTTGGTCACGGTTATAAAATTTCAACTTTGGCTAGTATTTACACAGCAGAAGCAAAAGCTATATTTTTAGCATTAGAATACATAGAAAAACAGGTACTATATTCGAAATGGATTATAATTACAGATAGTATGAGTGTTCTTATGGCATTAAAAAATAACACATTCATTTCATCATCAAACTACTTAATTCAAGAAATTCGTAATAAATATTATCATCTCTGTACTATATATGGAAAAGATATTATCTTCATGGACCCCTTCACATATTGGAGTGTTTGGGAATGAACAATAGACACTTTGGCTAAAATTATTAATTCAAGTGCTGCTCGTGTTCAAGATTTACCCCTTTGTTACTCAGATTGTAGTATTGGAATACATAAAATCGTTACAACTAAATGGGATATCAAATATTACAGACTAAAGGCAAATGGTACCGCAAAATTAATTTGCGTATTGGAAAACCGTGGTTATGCAAAGGAAAGGACACAAACAGAAAATTTTACACCAATATTTGTAGATTACGAATCGGCCACGGACATTTCAACGAACACCTGCACCGAATGGGCATGATCGCTTCCCCATCATGCACATGGTGTAACTCAAATACAGCCCAATCTCTACATCACCTTTTTTTTGATTGCTCTGAATTTGTCATTCAAAGACACATTATGTTTGACGAACTTAGGATTATCTTCAAAAAACCCGAAAATATCCCGCACTCAATCCCGCTTCTCTTAAGATTTCCTTCTTGTTTCAAAGCTATTTTCACTTATATTATTACAACATTCAAGGAGCTATAAGAATACTTTTATTGAATTGCAAGACAATGATTTTTTATAATTATTTATTTTTAATTTGATAAATCCACTGGTTTAAGAAAACTCAAGAAAAGATATTTATGAAAATGTACTTACCGGATTTGACAAATGAAATATTGAAGATTATGACAATAATTGAAGCGACATTAGAAAAATAAAATTCCAGACAAATTATCTTTTTGAAGACTAGGCAGCATGGTCTCCGACCTTAGCCTGTTCCAAACGGAACAAACGTACTAAAAAAAAAAAAAAAAAAGAAAATGACAATTTTAAAACGTCTGATCGCAATGTGAAATTAAAATTTCAGTTTTATTAATTTTTATTTTTCAAAATGTTTAAAGGATTTACTCGAGTATTCACTCATACAGAACGATTACAAAATTGTGTCTCTCCATTTCTTAGAAATAATGTGTTATGTGCACGTGAAAATAAAATGGGGAGCATAGGTTATATTTTTATGAGAACCAAGAAACATGATCGAGGAAATCCGTCAGCCCTTTTCATTCCTGTGCCTGTTAAGCCGAACCCTGATGACATAAATATTGGAGAGGAGTTCACAGGTCGCTTAAAGAAGCAGGATTTGCTTAAAATTTTGAATAAATTTTATCAGAAACCAGAAATTCGAGTATTGGCATCAGATAATGGATTAGATGACCAGTTGTTACATCAGGCATTTTTGTCGTTTAGGAGACATTGCTTAGAACATGATTTACCACCAGACTTACATATAACCATTAGTGATATATTACAAGGTATAATTATTTTCTTTATTTGTTGATGGAGTATCCAATTTTTAGTGTATATAGATACATGTTATTGATATATAGATACAGATAAGTAATTAATATTGTAGTATTAGGGGCGTGGGGGGAGCAGGTGTGCAGAGTCCACCCTTGTCTGGTGTCCAAACTGAAGATGCAAGTGAAATTTTCTGTTATGCATAAAAATATGTCAGACAGTAACAGACATGTATGCATCTTTTATGTGGCCAGAACTGTGGGAAAAACGATAAACCAATGTTGTAGTTTGTTTCACAATATGTATAACTACTTATTCTTAAATTTTAGGTGCAGGGCATGTTGATGACCTGTTTCCATATTTTCTTCGTCATGCTAGACTGGCATTCCCTCACTTAGATTGTTTGGATGATTTAAAGAAAATATCAGATTTAAGAACACCAGCAAATTGGTAAGCACTATTGATAATCATAAATTTTTTTCTTATGATCATTTTATACTTTTAGATATAGGATTAATATTATATATCTTAGTAAAGGTTATAAATAAAAAAATATTTCACTAGTATGTTCCTAAACTGTAATAATAACTATCTAATTGAAGCTTATTTACTCTAGTGTTGTATTAAAGTATGCACCTTTATAAATGAATCATGATATGATTCTCTTTATATTATGTCTTATGTGTCTATATGTTTGTATATTAATATACAATCATATTTTTTTCTCTATACATAAAGTTACATTTTATTATTAAATTAGTAGAACCAATTGATCTCTTAATTTTTATATCACTAAAGAATAATATTTATTGTATTGCCTGACTTAAACTTGTTTGTATCATTTTAGGTATACTCAAGCTCGTAGTATGAATAGAAAGATTATATTCCATGCAGGACCTACAAATTCTGGAAAAACATATCATGCTATGGAAAGGTTCCTAACTGCAAAGTCAGGAGTTTATTGTGGCCCCTTAAAATTGTTAGCTACTGAAATTTATCATAAATCTAATAAAAGGGTAAGGTTTAATATTATTCCATCTTTGGTATAACCTCTCAACTGTGTGACTGTGACAACTGACAAAAAATGTGCATCTGTGTTCCGTCCATTTAGCGAACATATTATAGATAATAATATCATATATACTGTTTTTGTCTAAATTAGCTTGACAATAAGCTTAAATTATTGTAAACAAACTATCTCTTGTCCTTAACACCGAGAATGTACGTAAAATAATGAAATAGGAGACCCACAAGTGTCAATTGAAGAGGGACTGTTTTATGGTCCATGTTTATAAACAAGTGCTGTATAAAAAAAATGTATTGGAACATAAGCTATTTTATTTTTGTTTTATCAAGTATATAATATTGTACAAAAAATATATAATTTTACATCTAGCAAGGTCTTAGTTTTTTAATAGTTGAAAAATAAAAGGCAATTTATAGGTAATCCCATTTTATTTCTCATAGAACAGTTGTAGTGCAATTCAAGTCAAGTATAGTGTAAGAAATTACACAAGGAATCTAGTTGGAATATAAATCTAATCTGAATTTTGTATAATTCTAATTAGATTTTGGAAAAATCGGGTTTTTTAAACCTATACGTTAAAAATACCTAGTCTGTGTAAAGTCTGCTCAGGGGACGTCACAGATGTGGATTTTCTACCATTTGCACAGTTGAAGATAAAATAAATCTTAGCTCAAATTTTAATTCAATGATTATATTTTACTTGCTAATGTGACTGCAAATTAAAAGTTTAGAAGAGACAAATATTAATATGATATTTTTGTTATATATTTTTTTTATAAATTCCAATTGTTAATTCTTATTTATTTCTCTTTGAAAATTGCAGTTTAAACTTATTAAATAAATTGGCATACATTTTTCATATTGAGTTAATTGTTTTAGGGGACTCCATGTGATTTAATCACAGGTGAAGAGAGAAGGCATGCTTCTCATTACAATATAATTGATACTCCAGAAGATTCAGAAGATTCACCTGAGAAAGAAACTAAATCTTTGCTTCTTGATGAAGCTGAGTTAACACCATCTAGTCATGTTGCTTGTACAGTTGAAATGACATCACTCAATCATAGTTGTGAGTATGAATTGTTAAATTATATTATATAGTACACATAAAATTATTGAAATTTTTCCAGTTTAATTGAACACTTTTATGTGTACTATGATAAAAGAATAAATTATGGTAACTAACACTTTTAAGGATACAATATTTCAAATTTTATTATTGAAAAAGTTTTTTTATAAAATGTAACTTAATTTTAAATAATGTTTGTTACAATGTATGTCTAAACATACATTTTCTGTTATACTGATTGTTGCGTCAGCGGGTCAGTAGAGGTCATTTGATACTACCAAATTTTATCTTGTCTGTTAACAATAAGCCCTTATTTTTGTTGTCATACACTTCATTGGACAATGACAATATTATTAATTGCTTTTGGTCTTGGTGCAAGCATGTATGGATTTGATGGATAACTTTGTATGGTCCAATGACATCCTTTACTTTTAGTAATTTGTATTATTTTGTGGTGGTGTGTATACAGATATATATTACAAATGTGTAGAATCTTTAAATTAATATGTCTATGTATGTATGTATGTACTCCAATATTATTTAGCTGTGTGTTTTCCATAATAAGAATTACTTATTATGGAATTATTATATATATGGATAATATTGACATATATATGTGTTTTTATAATATAATATATTTATAATATATTACTTCTTCCAATATAATTATGAAATAACCATTCTTATGGCTTGTATTTATTATTCTTTATTTTACACAAACATAATGATAGGAGCAATAAATTTTAAATGTAATGTACAAAGGCGAACTTATCTTAATAAGAGATTTCTTTCAGTGAACCTCATGTGAATTAAATTGATATTTAAAAACAAAAATGGGCAGTTATATGATTTGTGTTATTTTTTAAATGTTACAGATGAGGTAGCTATAATAGATGAAATTCAAATGATTGGTGACAGAGGCCGAGGCTGGGCTTGGACAAGAGCTATATTAGGTAACACAATTTTCTGTTACATCCAAAATATCATCATAGTTGTAGAATACTGATGGATCTGACAAATATTACATATATATATCCATTAGTATTCTATGACTATGACGATATGTACATTACTTTATTGAAAATAAAAAGGGAGTTTGTTGTCTTATGTATTTTACTTATAAATAATTTTTAAAGTATGTTATTGAAATTGGTTAATACTACAATACACTGTACTGTAAGTTTAAATTCAGGCCAATGGATGTCTAATGTTATAATAATAATGATAGTAAGCTATTACCCAGATAAAAAATCAAGTTTCAATCTGAACATATTTGTTGTAATGATTTTATTAGTGATAGATCAGTGTATTAGACACACTTTATAAGAATTGTTGACATTTTATTTTAGGTCTTCAAGCTGAAGAAATTCATTTATGTGGTGAGGCTGGTGCTATAAATCTTGTAGAAGAAATTTGTAACACCACAGGTGAAGAAATGGAGGTAAGTAATTTATCCTATTGCTTGTTGCAGTAGTTTATATTGGGGTCGTTTCATAAGGTGAAGCAGATTTTGCTGAATATATTGTCGCAACAAATTAACAAATTTGTTCTAGTTCTAATATAGAGTTATATGTTATATTTGTTACTATTTTTGTATTGATTGATTTGGTATTTGGTTAATGGAAGTTTATGCAACCACAGACTTTTTATGTTAGATATTGATTGCACTATTTTTTCTTGGTTGAACTATCTACCCTTAGGGTAAGTACTAACCATTTACCCCGAATGAAATTACTGCATTGTAACAATATTACACTTTAGTTCCATCCTTTGTGATTGTTCTCTTCTACAAACTACCGGGGGGAAAGGGAAGTAATGTGACAGCCCCATTGTACAAACAGGAAGGTGGAACATCAACAATTCTTGGTCACGAGGTACCTACTTCATCCTCATCTATCACAGGAAGTGTACCGATAGCGCGGGTGGGGTTGCCATTCCAATCATCATTGTTATAATAAATATACATCCTTGCTTAATACTATTAAAGTGAAAGGCGAGTTTGTTGCCTTATAGCACCTTAACGGTTTAACAAATTATTTTTGGTATACATGTACTATATGGATGGAGGTAAATATAGGTTATTTTTTTATCCCGTTCAATAAACATGTCTCTGTCACGCGGACGAAGGCGCGGATTTTACCTGCGCTAGTGTTTTATAATTTAAATGAATAAAAATAAATGTAAACTTGTTTCAGGTTCGAACATACAAAAGACTGACACAATTAAAAGTTGAAGATTCTGCACTTGGATCCCTAGATAATGTAAAACCTGGCGATTGTATAGTTTGTTTCAATAAAAATGACATTTATAGTGTAAGTCGAGCCATAGAACAGAGGTCAGTCTTATCTTGAGGCAGGTATCCAATGTTAGAAATGTAATGATCCTTTTGGCAGTGTTTCAATATATTAAAAAAAAACATGTTTTGTGAATGAGTGCATTATGATCTTAATTTTTTTTATATAGTCATCTAGTTAACAATTTGAGTGCCAGTATGTTTTTGAGATATTTAGTGTCTAGTCTACAATGTTTATCATAATGATTTATTATTCTCTTTAGTAAAATGTTGTAGACTATAAACTGTATAAGGGTATATATTTATAAACGGTTTGTTTAATAAGATATAAATTTTTGAACTCATAAATTCAAAGAGATGGCCTGCCGATAAAGATAATCTTTTTTTTCTAAATTAGAAAAGCTTCTGTAATGTTTTTAGAACCAAAATGCTTGCTACAATTTTACTTACCTATTTATAAGTTCATCTCAAAGAACATGCTTATTTTAGAGGTCATGAAGTAGCTGTAATTTATGGGAGTTTGCCACCTGGAACTAAATTAGCACAGGCCAATAAGTTCAATGACCCTGACAGTTCCTGTAAAGTGATGGTTGCCACAGATGCTATCGGACTTGGTATTAATTTGTAAGTAAATTTACTTCTTTAACTAAAGTATCCAGTTTGGTTTTTATGGCTTAGTTAGCTGGTGATTTTAGCTGGAACAAAATTTAAAAATTACTTTTAATACTACCTGTGTCCTATGAGTTTCCCCTTATCTTAGTTAACAGGATCTTATATATTAGTCTAAGATATGATACATTATTCATTTTTATTTATGTATGTTCAGTCGTTCGTGATATTCAATCGTACAAACATCCTAACATATTTACAAACATCCACATTTATTTTAATAGTAGATTTTGCTAGTTAGTTTTATTTTTTATGTAACTTAGCAAACAAGCTGACGACCCACCTGATGGAAAGTGGTAATCGTCGCCTATAGACATGAGCAGTACCATGTTTTTTATTACATTACCTGTTGTTTATTACAGGAGCATCCGCAGAGTAATATTCTATTCGTTAATAAAACCTATTGTCAATGAGGATGGAGACAAAGAAATGGATGTTATTAGCATATCGCAAGCTTTACAAATTGCTGGTAATTAATATTTTGTTTTTAATCGACTTCAAAAAATACGAGGTTCTCAGTTCGGTTGTATTTTTTATGTTACCTTATAACTCCGTCAATTGTAAACTGATTTAAAGAATTCTTTTTTTTTTATCTAAAAGGATATACTTACAGATTGGTCCCATTGAATTTTTTTTTCAAAATCCGGTTATTAGTTTTTAATAGACGATAATAAAATGATATCTTCGCTTGCGCTATCAGTATGCATGCGGGATACAAGTGAGTGATGATAGGTACGGATTAAAGCAGGTTAGTTTGCCCATCTGATGTATTCAAGAAGAATTCACTACGATTGTTTCAAGGGGGAACTGCGTTAGTTCGACTTGATTGATATTGCTAGTAAAGGAACTGTTTGGTCCTATTACTGAGAATCCTTTTCCCCTAAATTTAATGTATTGGCGATCCGTCTCGTATCATCGATGATTAAAGGTACATTCAATGTGTCTGTAGTGCTATAGTTGTTAATTGCAACGCACAGGTCGAGCGGGTCGCTACGGCAGCGCCTGGGAGACTGGATACGTCACAACATTCAAGTCGGAAGATCTGGCTACGCTGAAGACATTGTTGTCAAAATCCCCCGAGCCTGTTCTACAAGCTGGACTGCATCCTACTGCTGAACAAATGGAGCTGTACGCTTACCATTTACCGCACGCCAGCCTTAGTAGTCTTATGGTAAGTATTCATATATTTTTTTTATTGACTTCCAAAAAGTAAGAGATTATAGTTAGGTTAATATTGTTTTTCTAAAATTTCTAGGCTTATTTACAGTACTCTTCTTTGATTGATATGTTAAATGAGAGTGATCTATAGATTTGTATGTATTACATCTCATACAATTTTGTCAATATGTAGTTTTTTTTTAAATATTTCGCGTATGTTACCTGATACTCTAATTTTATATTTAGATTTTGAAATTTGATCAAGGGTCAAGAAGATTTTTTTAACTTCAATTGATGTAATAAAGCTATTTCATTTAACCACTCTGTATAACCGTTAGCTCATTTAATGTACTTTCTTTAGAGTTAGCCCCCTATCCCTTCCCCGGAAAATAATTTTAAATACGTTATGTGTGTAACCTTGCAGGATATATTCGTCCATCTATGCACAGTGGATGACTCGTTATATTTCATGTGCAACACGGAAGCGTTCAAGTTCCTAGCCGAGATGATCCAGCACGTGCCGCTACCGCTGCGGGCGCGTTATGTATTTTGCTGCGCGCCCATCAACAATAAACTACCATTCGTATGCGCTACTTTCCTGAAGGCAAGTTGCTAAAACATTTTTATTTTTATTAAGTTGTATAAAATATTATATTTTCTATATTTTATGATTGTTTTATTCAGCTATTTGCAAATTAATAATTTCCATGTATGTATATAAAATTTATCTACTATTTATTTATTCATTAAAACGATTATGGAGAATATTACAAAACAACGATGTGACAGTTTCCATCTAAAACAATTGTAAAATTTTTTTATTAAACTATGCCCGTCACTATTGTTATAAAAAGGTTAAAATATTAAGAACACATTGCTGTTAGTATCAAATAATTAAAATAGTATTATTATAAGTTTGTCTACTATAATAGTTTGAATTTTTGCAACAAAAATGAATTAGTTTGAATTCATGCAGACATAAATTACGATTTTATTATAGTGTACACGTGTATGCGTAGATGGTGCGGCAGTACAGCAGAAACGAGCCAATCACGAGAAACTGGATGTGTAACGCGGTGGACTGGCCGCTGCCCGCGCCCAAGACCATCATGGATCTGGTGCATCTCGAATCTGTGTTTGATGTGCTCGAGCTGTATTTGTGGCTGAGGTATTATTTTGCAATTAATATATTCAAGCAAGTGAGGTAAGTACCTTGATGATTACAAGATACCCCAAGATACAATGATGATTTAAAAGTTTCAAGGAGTCACTGAGATGCTAGTGGCGCTTTATCCCACTTTGTGATGAAATATGAAAAAAATTAATATTTGCAGTGGTTGATGGTTTTTTTAAATGGGTGAGATTTGAATGGTAACTCCGCCTATGCTGTCGGTATATGTTGGCGAGGCACAAGTGACTGGTGATGGGAGAGGATGAAACTAGGTCAGGAAGCCTATTGTGACGGATCCAACAAAATTAATCTCGATGGATTCCAGGGGGAACCGAGTGGAGCTCAATTTGACAGGGTATATTGCTAAAAATTGCGATTAACGCTCAACAACATCTAGATAGATGGTTGTAGATGTTTTTTTTTTAATGGGTGAAAGTGGAATGGTAACTTCTCCTGCACTAAAGTTTGATGCTGGCGGTGCATCAGCGAGGGATGACAGATGAGGATAGAGCAGGACAGTTCGTATAACTGTGATGAATTCATATAAAATTAATCATGGTAACCCTTACCATGATATATTGTTAGTAATGAGCCTGTTAGATATCATTACTAACAATCCCTTTCCCTCCCTGATGATTGTAATCATGACAATAAAACCTGTTACAGTCACCAATCTAGCCATTGTGCCGTTTCAGGCAAAAATTGATACTTCCAATTGGGTAAAAGTTCTGGCAATCATATAGATTTGGGTAAAAATTTGATGTTTATGTAAAACTTAAAAATCGCATTTGGTAACCCTAGAAACAAGTATAATAGTTATTCAATTTACTGGGTGTTGATTGATTTTGTGTTGTGTTTTTATTTTCCTAGTTATCGTTTCCCGGACATGTTCCCCGACATTAAACTGGTGCGCGACATGGAGACTGAACTGGATGCTATCATTCAGCAGGGAATATTCCAAATAACGAGGTAAATCTTATTTTTTTTTACGTACACGTAAAATTGTAATTGTTTATATTTATTATATTACATTTACAAACAACATAATTCTAATCAAATAACCTGTGATATGGACTTCTGCAAAATAACACATAATTCAGTAAAATAATACAAATACAAAATCATAATATGTGACTGTCATATTACTTCGAAATCTAGGTTCCAACTTCGATTTCCCGATATCTTAATGATTTATAATTATAATTTGACCTCCTTTATTAGTGCTACTATGACCGGGCTATATGAATCTTTGTTAAGAAGACTGAAGATTTAGGGAGGGAGGCTTATGTTCAGTAGTAGAAGAACAATCACCATAATGTAAATAGATAGAAATAATATTTGTGTAATAGTAATATATTTTAACATTCCTTAATATCTATAGCGTTATCATCATTCTTAAAGTCATGATTTCTTTGTAAAAAAAATTTTTTATTTTAGTAGCGGAGTAATCCCTATTTAGTCCATACATTATTCACCCTTTTTACCACCATACCCCTCACCATAGATACAATTAACTTACATTTTTTCGGTGCATGGCACACTATCACTACGTGTGCATCCTGTTCGTTTCTACCTCGTACACCTGGCTTGTGGAATGTGTCTCCTTTTGTAGTTTTCCCCTTAGAATATGGAATACAAAAAAATAAAAAAATAAATTTCAAAAAACATGTCTACAAATATTTAAAAGGCCAGTAACATACGAGTAACTCGTCTCGTATAGCAAGGCTTCATGGGTGATGGTAGCCGCTTCGAATCAGGTGGACTCTCTGTTTGCCTCCCTAACAATAAAAAAAAAAAAACAAAATTATAAAGGACTCCTGTAAGAATGTATAGTAGTTTGAGATACTTCTTTTTTTCTGTTACAGGCTATTGCGTAACTCTGAACAAGCATTCCGAGAGGACCCTGACAGTGTTGAATCAAGTGTCAACAAAAGGACTCTAAGATACGCGCAGACCAAATATGACTCCAAGGGTATATTATATGAAATGTATTAAAGTCTCCGTTTAAATTATAAATTATAAACATGTTTTAAAAGAAAATAAGTCTAAACCTTCCCTTAAAATATTTTCTTGCATACAATGCATGTCTTGATAATTACAGTTAGTGTTAAGTCCGCCATATGTAAAATATATTATATGATTATGCATTAAAGTTTAAAAAAATAAATTATGCACAATTTTTTTTATATAGATAATAAATTTGCATACATACATACATATTATGAATGATTTATATCTGAATATACATTATTTGCCATACAATTCAATGTAATATTTACAATAATTCACTTGATTTGTCTAATAATTTAAATAACGCTTTTGCTGTTTGCAAGTCTATTGATAAACAACTTACTAATTATAAAAACAACTTTTGTTGAAAACAGCATTAGTTGATTTTCTCACCTGTTCTTCTCAACTGAAATTACATTCCGAATCAGTGGTAGAATCATAGAAAAATACTACTCTTGCTTGTAATTAAGTTTACTTGATTAAACATTATTCTTCTTATTCCTAAATGGCTTTAGATAAAATTTGATTTATATGGAATTTTCTTTCTATTCTAATATTTCTTTATTATTTTTTGGCAATACTTTTTATACTGTTACTAAGTTCATAAAATGATTGACCTTCACTTATTTATTATATTATCTATAATATTTTTCAGGGATTAATAACACCACAAATGTTGAAGAAACTACAACAAGAATTGACCACTGATACAAAAATAGACAGAAATAAAAAGAAAATGAACAGAAATAGAAGGAAATGATATAAATAGTGTAAATTTGTTGTATAATATGTACGATGTGTGAATGTTGAGTAAATTATCTGAAATAATTATTACGACTTTATTTTTATTTAATTTAGATAGTAGTTGAATAGGTTTGAGCAGTATTCTCATTCTTATGATATTTAACCCTCCACCCCACCCCTTTTGTCCTGGCTTGAATATGAAGTAGTACAATCTACGTTGAATTATCGACAATAATAAAAACTAGGCATGTAAGCATTATTATATACTATACCTATATTATATAGTATACCTATATCGCGTTGCGTTAAAATCCAAAAATGAATTTAAACAATCTCTAGTGAACAAGTTACAAAACAGATCTATAGAATATTACGACTTTGTTATGTTTTACTTTAATTCGAAACACTGCCAACTTTATCTAACCTTAACTATGTAATGTATGTTTTTTATATTACTTGTTTTTAGCTTTAACAAGCTGTTTATCACTGCATCAATCGCGTCAATCCATTATCTATCATTCCCACGGTAATTTCGAGGAAATAATTTCTCAATGCAAGTCCATGTCATAAAGACGACTAATTATCACTACTCATAGACTACAGTAAAGAATAGTTCTGAGTCACCGCATTCAATGTTGCTCTTTATTAAAGAGCAGAAATTAAAAACGTTTTTTTTTTGTTTTTCTTGAGTCCCTCAAAAAGCAACTTTTAAAAGTATATATTTTAGCCAATTTTTTAATTACCGTTGGATATTTTGTAATAGTTGTTTAACAAAATAATCTTTCTTTCTTCAGAATATCGCTAAGTTTAACGTTTCCCGCCCTTTTTCGATCACCATGTTATATATTCAACGATCACCATGTTGAATCAATGAAAATCTTTTTAACTAACGTCAATCACAATTACGGTAGTAGTATTATATATATATATATATATATATATATATATATATATATATATATATATATATATATATATATATATATATATATATATATATATATATACATATATATATATGCTATGTTAAGTAGTATAACATAACATAATATTCAATGACACTTCTTTTCTCCCAACACAGAGTCTAATAATCTTTAAATACGAACATTACCTATATAAGTTGAGGTGGTCGGTGAGATTTGAATTCGCACCTTGCCAGAAGTTTCTTTTCATTTTAGACCCGCCTTCACGGTAAATTTTAATACTTTTATTTCATTATGAATATAGATTTATAAATCGGAACGTGACCATAATAATAGTTAATATCCAGTATTCTTTATTCATATGACGTGACGATACAATGGTGTACAGGCAGAACGTTTTTGTATATTACATTTAGATAGTTATTCGATACGTCGTTTCGCTATTATCAAGAATTCACCCGTAAAACGGGGACCTATTGACACCTCTCTTATCAACTTTATTGAGAGGGTAGTTTGTTATAGAAGTGTGACCGGTTCGCTGCATAAAATGTTAATAGCAATATGTATTACCAAAATTTGCTTATGTTTATATTAACCTTTATATTATACGATAACACAGTGAATATATACGGTGGGTATAATATATTGTTTATTATACAAATATGAATTAGTAATATGTGAAATTAGTGTTAATTTTTCGACAATTTTAAAGCCTATAGATCATTCGAAGTGGACGGTGTTGAAACTATACTAGCGTTGGAAAACGAGAAGATTAATATAGAATGTAAGACCGATGTGCCACTATCATACTGTGGATTCGTACATCCAACTGGAAAAAGATATTCGTAAGTAGCTCTGTCAATCTTATCGTAATAGGTACCTAATTAGTCAATTATTTAAAAATGTCATTGACCTTATAATATTAGGTAAAATTTTAAAAAGCTGATTTGTAAAGTAGTATTTTTTTTTTTATATTTAAGGCGCAAATATAAAATTCCCGACTTGCATATTTTTTAACTAACTATAGGAAGTTTTCGATAAAGATAGAAAAATATTAATACGACGTTCTTAATGGATGATAATAGAATCGTAACCGCGCTATCGGTATTGGCTGGTTGGGACAGCAGTGAGAGATAATAGGTGAGGATGAAAATAGGTCAGTTAACCCATCGTGACGAAATCAAGACTTAACCACGACGGTTTTCAGCAGGGACTGCGTGGTCATTGACCTGATAGGGTGTATTGCTAGTTATAGGTATATGGGACCACATTACTAACAATTACTTTCCCCCTGTTCACTTGATGTTGGCTGACTTTAGTAACTACATAGATGTCCAGTTACCTATTATTTAATTATTAGTAAGGTATTTAATCACCTACCTAGGAAATAAATATCTAGGTACCTTATGTAGAGGTAAGTATTACTATTTATATTCTAGGTTTTTTTATACAACTTAGAATGGCAAACAAGCTGACGGTCCACCTGATGGAAAGTGGTAACCGTCGCCTATAGACATGAGTACCATGGACATAACAGAGTATACTGCTTTGCTCATGATACCCCCCATGCGTTGCCATTCCTGAGGACTCAGGTGTTATTCCTCTGTACCCAGTAAATTCACGCTATATCCCACCTTTTAAACCGAAACACAGTCATGCAAACACAACTGCTTCACGGTTGAAACACGAATGGGACAGAGGTACCCAAGCAATCGACTTTTGTACAAAGTCTCCCTCTGGTATATATATGGTATGTAGGTTAGAGTAGCAGTTTTTTTTGTTGGGTGAAAATGGTATGGTAACCCCGCCTGCGCTAACGGGATACGTTGGCGGAGCACCAGTGAAGGGTGATAGATGAGAATGAAAACAGCCCCGTTAGCCCATCATGATGAATTTATCAGGAATTAACCATGATAATTTCCAGGGAGAACCGCGAGGAGGTTGACCTGGTTGGGTATATTGCTAGCAATGGGATTCTCAGTCTCCATTAGTAAGAATCCCTTTTCCCCCATATAGTTTTTTTTTTATTTTAGGGATATTATGCTTATAGACTTAACAATCCTATTGAGATAATTACTTTATAGATATTTTATTTTTAGGTTTAAAGGTCAAGAGCTTCACCTGGGTCGTTGTTTTAATAAAGTGAGTGTGTCAAAACAAGATATTGGAGAATGGACTTGTCATCTAGGCAAGAGTGCTATAGGCGTGGAAACAACGAAGAAGATAATGGTCAGAATAGTGAACCGTGTTGCCGCTATAAAGCAAAATGTAACGGTTAACCATGGTAAGGAAGTCACCTTGGAATGCGCCACTACAGAGGGAATGAGGTCTTTAGTATACTGCCGCTTTGAGCCTCCAAATGGGATCGCCTTCAGTATTAATTCAGCCGTGAATGTTTCTAAGTACGTAAAAATATTATTTTATTTATTTTTAATTAATTAAGTATCGAGGAAAGAATTTATTATCTATTTTACTTAATGAGTATTTTTTTGGAGAGTTGCAACACAATCTTTAAAATGACCATGCATCTGTGATAGGGCATGTCGTCAGGACGATGACTAAAACATAATATACCCATCACCTGGTGGGGGAAAGGGATTATTAGTAATGAGGTCTGATAGCCTCACTGCTAGCAATATACTCTGTAAGGTCGATTTCTACGCTGTTCCCTCTGGAAACTATAATTAATTTTAGTCGAACTCATCATGATGGGCCAACTGACTTGCATTCATTCTCATCTATCATTTTCCACTGTTGCCCCGCCAGTGTATATCAATAGCACGGGCAGAGTAACCGTTTCATTTTCAACTATTAAAAAAAACATCACTTGGTTCGTTGCCGTCCTGACCGGATGCCCCTCAGGTATACGGCCTACTAAATTATAACCTTATTTACTAATATTATTTAAAGTTTGTATCTAATAAAATAGATCTTGTTATCTAATTTTAAATAAATTTATATTAATAATTTCCAGTGCAATTTTGGGGAAATATTATTATCCACAAAACAAAAGTATCGACCGTGGTGATTGCGCGGTGACAATACGGAGTGTGAAATATGAGGACGTCGGTTCTTGGACTTGTGGAGCTGGACTGGACGATGGAAAAGAGTATATTGATGTTATCACACTCGAAGTGAAAGGTATGTAATGTTCTTTTTCCAAGTCGTGTTAACATTAAATATAGGTACGATAAAATTTATGTAACTTAACGTGACGTAGTTCTGTTAAAGTTATCTCTTGCCCTTTACGTTTAAACCAATCATTACGATATTTTGACATATGCCCAGTATTTGGGATGGAAAACTATAGTCTACCTTTTAATCAATTAGAATGTACTTTCTATATGTTAAAAAACTGCACTGGTGCGAGTTATACTTACACGCTGATGTTTCTGTATATAAATATCCTTTACTGCATTACTCATACGAAATAGTCATCTACAATTCGTAATTTCTTATTTTGGGCTATATTAGTAGTTGTTGTTCAAATAATTATAAATTGTAGGTGTACGAAACCGTGGTACGGTTTCGTAAACCGGATTTCATAATTGATTTTGAAGGATTTTTAAATAATAATTTCTCAAAAATGGTGGTGATTCAAAACATCGTTTCATTTTCCCTATAGTATTCAAATTTACTTTTATAAACTATAATTATTTTATATTTTTAACTTTAGTAACTTCTGAGATAAGAGAGGGGGGGGGAGGTATTTGTGTGAAAATATTTTACCTTTCATGGTATATCATGCGGTTATATACTTTTGTTTCTGGGTTTAGTGTGTTTGAAATGAAATGAAATGTTGGTATCTATAGATGACCTTTAAATGTATAATTTAATAAAATTTGTGATAGGTGACTGACCTCGGAGATTTATAATCTATCTATGGGGCTTTTGGACTACGTACTTTAAATTGCGATGTGGTTTCAATGTTTATATTTTAAGTTTGAAAGCATAATGACCTGTACTGTATTAGTGTTTAAATTTATAAAATACGCACAAAACTCATGTTATATGACTCGTGTGGTGGATAAACTTTCACATGGCTGACATAAGACATAAGTTTTGTGTAAAACATAAATGTAACCATCGCTCTTCTTATTAGGACTGTATACACTGTCAACAGCATCTATGTCTGGCATCATATTTGGAGCTATAGTTATTGCGGCGATTCTCTGCTTGGTCGGCGTTGTTGCGTGGAAGAAGAGGACTTTCTTGGGTAGTCCGCCTCGACCAGCAGAGGAGATCGAGATCCAAGATATGGGTACGCAGCGAGAGTCAGAGACAGGGCAGAGGTCATCACAACCGTCTCCGCAGCCAGAACGCAGTGTCCCTGAAGTTGTAGTCCAGTCACCATCTGAACCAAGTTCCTCGCCAGTAACGGCTACACAGTAAAGATTAGCAAGAAAACGTATTTACCTATAATAACTAAATTTATAGTGTAACAATATGGTAAATAGACAGCGTAAAGTTGTGAATTTGATGAATGTATCTAGTTGTGAAATTTGTTCACAAATCGGATAGATATTAATTTTGCTTAATTAACATAAGTAATTACAATTTAATCTATCATTATTTACTCACTGTATTATTATAAACACACGTCTTTTCTAAATCTTTTTTACCTTTTCTATTATTTAAAACATAATCTAAATAAACTTCATACTTGGGAAACTAGATATCCCTACTTAGTGTAAACTAAAATGGTTATATCTATATTAGATTATTACTAAAGAACGTTATACTGAGTTTATGAGTTATACGAGGTCTGTCCGGAAAGTTCGTATAAAAGTGTTCTGGAATAGTGGGGAGGCCAGGTAAGCGCAGGACCCCTTCCTTATGTCCCTAACAATGCTTCAGTTCTGGTCTGACCGCCGTGCGGTATGGCTTGTCACGCCATCTGTGAAGTTACCTCTTAACGAAACCCCGTCGGCATGGAGCCCGCTTCCGTTGAAGAGCAGCGCGTCGTAATCAAGTTTCTCTCGAAACTCGGCAAGAATGGCCGTGAAATTTTTGCCGATCTCAGAACAGTTTATGGGGATGATGCTGTGAAGGAACCAACCGTCCACAAGTGGCTAAAAAGATTCAGAGAGGGCCGAGAAAGCATCAAGAATTCGTCCCTCCAGGCCAGACAGTTGATGGAAAATTCTACGTCGATGTGCTCAGACGCCTCAAAGCTCGTGTGGCACGAGTTCGTCCAGAATTGGCGCGAGAGGGGCGTTGGATTCTTCACCACGACAATGCCCCTGCCCACACCTCTCTTGTTGTCCGTGAGTTTTTGAGTAAAAATTCCATTACGGTGACCGAACACCCCCCCTATTCGCCGGATTTGGCCCCGTGTGACTTCTTCTTGTTCCCAAAAACCAAATTGGTATTCGGGGGCGGCATTTGGGGGACATAAATGAGATAAAAAAAGCTACGACGGGGCAGCTGAGAAACCTACAACCAGAGGACTTTCAAGGAGCCTTCTCACAGTGGAAACGGCGTTGGCACAAGTGCATTATGTCACAGAGTACTTTGAAGGGGATAAAATTGATTTACCTGAATAATTGTAAAATAAAATTTTTAAAAAACTTTTATACGTACTTTCCGGACAAACCTCGTATTGTCCTGACGGTAGATTATGAAAATAATGCAGTAAAAATAATCTATGGTTGTGGTGTAAATAAATGTTTAGATAAATGATGAGAAAGGTCGGATAAAATAATTAATGCGATTAAAGTTTATATAAATTATATTTTATTTCAATATTTACATTTCTTAAAATTAAAGAAGTTTTAGATATATAGTTTAGTACTTATAATTAATTGTACTTATGAATAAAATATTTTAGACACAAGACTTTAAATTTATTAACATTTTAGTTTTATTATTAATAGCTCGGATGATTTAGCATGAGAGCTAATCTTTCCATATTAACTGCGTATACGGAATGACATGCTATTACATTTTTATGAGTTAACAATGTATTATAAAATTCGTCTATAGTTAGTTTGTCATCATTGGGCTCTGTGTTTGGTACACTGAAACAAAAAAAAAACTATATAAATACTCAAGTATTTTTTTAATGTTACAATATCATATTTTTATGACCTCCATCAGTTTGTTTTTAGATAGCCTGTAATATTTTTAATTAAAATAATGTATATAAAGAAATACATTCATCAGACATGTCATAACAGTGGATGAAACAAGTGATATGTTCCTTGGCTCTTGGTTCCCTCTGCCAATCTTTTAAGGTCTGATGCGATCTTATTAATATCAGTTAGTAAAGATGTTTAGATGGTTTTTACTGGTGTCAATTATGAAGTGTAATTTCTCTAAACTTGTCTCTAACTTAATATTTTAATTTTGTCAAAATTACTATAGGCCACCATAAATTGAATTTATGAATATTTTGACTAAAATCTATTAGAACCTTAGTTTATATTGGTTTGAGAAATTGCATCTCGGCATCATGCATATCGGCTGCACTCATTCAAACTTAAACTGCTGAACAAGAATAAAAACATTTGGTCCATGGGTAAGTTCTACACATATGATACTTTACATAATGATTAATGTGGGATATACTTAATACATTTGTATGTATAACAAGGTTTGTAGAGAATCAACACAGCGGTAAACCCTACAGATTAAGAAATAATTATTGAAATTGGTTCAAAATGGTGAATTTATTCCTTAATGCTGTATGCATTGATGAAACAAGTAAAATTGATGAAGTTTTCCAATTCAATTTCCCATGTTATTTATAATAGAAATTTATTGATAACTTACCTGCATGCAATTTCAAAGGCAGCAGACTGTTCCACTTCATCAATTGTAGGTGGACATCTTGGTCCCAATGCATCGGCACCATCATCAACATTCACTCTTCCCTCAAACTGAGGGTCATACAGCTTTGATGAATTTCTTAGCCACATATTTGGTACATCACAGCCAACATCATACATAAAGTGTTTTTGACGTATTTTGTAGCCTTTTCTTTGTGATATGACAGCACTTATAACATTCTTAAGAAAGTTTTGTGTTGCCACAACAATTATATCAGCTGCATCGTCATCTGCACCTTCCAGGCCTAGCTCCCATGCTGCAAGCATAAACCGACCAACTACTAGGGCATGGTCGGGTAAGAATATTTCCTGAAAATAAAAATTTACCATTGACAACATACTCAAAATTTGTAGAAGTTTATATGAATTACTCAGAGGAAAAGACTTGAAATTTTATTTTTGCTGAACTTAAAGATTTTACTATGCATATAGCTCTGTATAAAAAAAAAAAAACATGCAATTATATAATATTAGCAGCATAGGTTTGCCTGTGAGAATTATTATGCATTCTGTGCATAATGATGACAACCAATATTTTGGCAATTTTAAAAATTTTATATAATAAAAATTGCCAGAATATTACATGTCACACATAGAATATAAGGATTTTTCTTGAAGGTAGATTTGAAAAGAATGCTTTTAGCATTGTTTCTATATTACATGTACATACATATTACTACTAGTGTACTAAGGATAAATAATTATATAGAATAGTTATACCTGTGCAGCATATTTAACGCCATCACTACCTGCGCCAGGCGGAGAATTTGGGGGCAAGTACTCCAGTAAATCAGCTTGTTCAAAGTTAGATTTTTCCGATGTTCTGGAGCTTCTTTTGTGGCGTCGGCTGTTTCTGTTATGCGAGCTCGCTTTTTCTTGTGCTATTGTTAAGGATGTTTCAGCTAAACCCTCGACTTTGTTTAAGAGAGCGAGTAAAAATTCATTATGGTAACGCACTTGATCAGAACTCAGCATTGCACGAGCTTCAGCATCAAACTCTTCCTTTGTAAGTTTCATTCTAAACCACTGTTTCATGCTGTTGAAATATTTAGACGATGTTTCACCTAACACTTCGCTGAGTTTTCTTCTTGCAATATTTAGTGTATCGGAAGACATTTATCTAACTTTTAGGTTACGTTTTTTAAATTATATTTACAAATCTTTTAATGAATAAGTTGAGAATTTTTAATGAATAAATTTGTCTAAAAAAAGTAAAAAAAAAATTAAGGTTTAGAGGGCTTTATGTTTAGTAAAGAAAATGTAAATAAATTGAAACAGGTAGGTAATGATTTATCACTGTGCAAATTATGGTTTTTCTAACATTGACTCATAAGTCAATGCTAATGATTAAGAAATTAAGTTTCTGACTTTCAATGGCTATTACTAATTTATCTTTATTTTTAGTTGAATTAAAATAATATTTTGATTTAGTTTTTCGGACTTGTTCCGTACAATGACAATACTGATGTCAAATTGACAACTAACATCACAGTGTTACCAGATGAAATTTGCTAATATATTGACACAAGTTACCAACTGAAATCCCATTAAAATTTGTTTTATAATTATAGTTTAAGAATAGTATTTTTCTACGTTTTTTTTCAATGAATGATGATGAAATGGTAACCCCGCCTGTGCTAAATTATTGAAGCGATTAAAATAATTTTTTATGGGATTATATTTGATAAAAAAATATATAGAAAAAACAGTCATTTCAATGTGACAGAAATAACGTAGGGTCGATACGAAGTTAAACTCTACTCATTTTATATTATTTAATCAGCATTATAAACATCGGTCCTTAATTCGCGAAAATATAATTTATATAATAACGCTTAACATATGTATAAAAAAATACAGACGGAATTTAGAACCTAGCCTTTTCGGAGTCTCTTAACTATGGCTTCTGCCCTATCAAAAAGTTTTTATCCTCTACCTTAAACTTCGATCTAGCTACGTCGTTTAGCTAAGACGGGGATTTATTGACAATTCTCTCATCAACTTTATTGAGAGGGTAGTTTGTTATAGAAGTGTGACCGGTTCGCTGCATAAAATATTAAAAGCAATATGTATTATCAAAATTTGCTTCTGGTTATATTAACCTTTATATTATACGATAACACAGTGAATATATACGGTGGGTATAATATATTGTTTATTATACAAATATGAATGTGTTATATGTGTAATAAGTATTAATTTTTCGACAATTTTAAAGCCTATAGAACTTTCGATGTGGACGGTGTTGAAACTATACTAGCGTTGGAAAACGAGACGATTAATATAGAATGTAAGACCGATGGGCCACTATCATACTGTGGATTCGTACATCCAACTGGAAAAAGATATTCGTAAGTAGCTCTGTTACTCTTATCGTAGTAGGTACCTAATTAGTCAATTATTTGAAAATGTCACTGACTTTATAATATTATGCAGGATTTTAAAAGACCCGATTTATAGTAGGGAAAAGTTAAGTTTTACAAAATTATTCAAGTTGAAAATTATAAAATTACCTTCTTTAATATTATTTATCAAAGTATAGAAAGCTTTCGTTAAAGATAGAAAAATATCTACTTGATGTGCTTAATGGACGATAATGGAATAATAAACTCGCCCGCGTTATCAGCGAGGATGAAAGCAGATTAATTAGCCCATTGTGACGAAATTAATTACAATGGTTTCCAGGGGAAACCACGTGGTGGTCAACCTGATAGGGTATATTGCTAGCAATAGATATGTTAGATCACATTACTAAAAAATCCTTTTCCCCTGTTTACTTGATAATGGATAACTAGTAACTACAAGGAACCAAGTAATTCGTTCCATGTTGTATTTATTACCTACCTAGTAAGTTACTAAGGAAGGTATTTTATGTAGAGGTAGATATACCCCTTAATAGTAATTAAGGGGTATTCTAGTGGAGGCATGAATTTTAAGTAATTTTTGATGTGCCGTAAAAAAAGCAATCAATATTTTTATTATCCATTTTTTTGTAAGTAATTTATTACATTACGAAAATATAGAAAAAAAAAGTCAAAAATTCAGAAAAAAATTGCTGCTGATGGGATATCAGTAGGATCTCAAAAAATTGGCACGTGATCTTACCCTCGATTTCAACCCTTCTAGCAATCTGAAAAAATAATTATTAATCTAGAGTAATGTCGCAATGTCTGGGACTTCGGAAAATTTGAAAAAATTTTTTTCACAAAATGGCAGTTGCCAAAAAAAAACAATTTCTGTACCACTTATTTTGATTTTTCAAATTTTTAAAAATTAAATTAGTAAAGTGTGAAATTTGGGAATGAGGGTAGTTCTAGATATAGAGAAGCCCATAAAGAAGACTAAAAAAATTTCAGGTAAATCGGTCCAATAGAACTTGAAAAATCATGGGTATCGTTTTGAAAAAGACAGTTTCGAGAAAAACGCGTTTAAAGTTTCGCGTGAAGTTTTTCACAGTCTAAATCATGAAATGATATTTTATCCTTACATTTATTCAATCTGTCATTCCTGCTGCATACATCGGACCTTCTTCGACTTCAAAATAACTATTTTCTGCGTTTCTCTCTTCCAATCGAACAGTTCTGACCTCCTTTGATGCGTTGGATGCTCGTAACTCCGAGCGGTCAATCTGGGCGTTGTCTCGTTTCACAGTAAGTGAATGAGCTTTTGGATCAATTTTGATTACCATAAGCGTCATCATTTTGAAAATAGAAATGAAGCCTTCATTAAAAATACAGACAACAATAAATCTTAATTATCTTAGCTCCAGAATGAATATGTTTTGATGCGAAAATCCAAATCAAAGGGTTTAGAGACTCATTATTATTTTGAGTTATATTATAGTTATATAATTATATAAAGGAACAAAAGGTTTTACTGAGAATTATGGATTCAGGCCTCATCAAAACGGCCACACAGCAGTCTATTGTGGAATGCTCTCGCTCGGCTGTAAACCGAAGTAGATGGAGGCACATTGCGAGGACTTCATTCGCGAAGGAGGGAATCATTGACGATCCACTATCATAAAACCACGACCATTATGTCCAGAGTGTACGACTGAAGAGAGAGAGAGAGAGAGAGAGAGAGATGGATGGATTCTGGATTCTGGTAGAGAGAATAAAAAGAAGTTTTTTGTTCGATTTGTTCCAGCCGAGCCAGTTTGGATGCCGCGTCAGCAAAATACCTGTAACACCGAAAATAATTTGAATTTTGAAAAATCCTCTTGTAACATATTCCTAAATAATTAAACTGTGAAAATGTATAAAAAAAAAATTCTACAGCAGAATACCCGCTTAATGTTCTAGGTATATAGTTAGTAGCAGTTTTTTTTATTTTATTTTAGGGATATTAGTCTTGTAGACTTGACAATCCCATTGAGATTATTACTTTATAGATATTTTATTTTTAGGTTTAAAAGTCAAGAGCTTCACCTGGGTCGTTGTTTTAATAAAGTGAATGTGACAAAACAAGATATTGGAGAATGGACTTGTCACCTAGGCAAAAGTGCTATAGGCGTGGAAACAACGAGGAAGATAATAGTGAGAATAGTGAATCGTGTTGCCGCTATAAAGCAGAATGTAACGACTAACCCTGGTAGAACAGTCAACTTGGAATGCGCCGTTATAGAGGGAATGAGGTCATTAGAATACTGCCGCTTTGAGTCTCCGAACGGGATCGCCTTCAATATTGATTCAGTTATGAATTATTCTAAGTATGTGAAGATATTATTTTATTTATTTTTAATTAAATAAGTATCGAGGAAAGAATTTCATATCTATTTTACTTAATGAGTATTTTTTTGGAGAGTTGAAACACCATCTTTAAAATGTCCATGCATCTGTGATAGGGCATGTCGTCAGGACGATGACTAAAATATAATATACCCATCACCTGGTGGGGGAAAGGGATTATTAGTAATGATAGCTGAAGATGTCCATGCATATATAATCGTTCCTTGCTTCGTTGCCGTCCTGACCGGATGCCCGTTAGATATACGGTCTACTAAATCATAACCTTTTTTATTAACATAATTTAAAATACTTAGTGTTACTAACAAAATGGGCTAACAAAACTAACAAAAATAAATATTGTTATATATTAAATAAATTTTAATTAATAATTTCCAGCCGAATTTTGGATAAATATTTTTATCCACGAAACAGAAGTTTAGACCGTGGTGATTGCGTTGTGACAATAAGCAATGTGAAATATGAGGATGCCGGTTCTTGGATTTGTGGAGCTGAACTGGATGATGGAAAAGAGTATATTGATGTTATCACGCTCAAAATTGAACGTATGTAATTTTTGCTATCCAAGTCGTTGTGTTAACATTGAAAATACGATAAAATTTATATAACTTTAACTGAACTATGGGTCACATTTTTGGCAGTAATAAATAGATACTTGTATCGATGATTTGTCCATGTTATAAGTATTTCAAACAGCGTAGATACTTACTCAAGGAATAGCAATCAAAATTCTTACTAACGTCATACTTGTGAAAATGTGTTTGTTTGTTATCTCTTGCCCCTTTACATTTAAACCAATCATTATATGATTTCGACATACACCCAGTATTTTGGATGGAAAAGTATAGGCTACCTTTTAATAAATTCGAATGCACTTTCTAAATATGTTAAAAAACTGCACTTGTACGAGTTAAATTCACATATCGATGTTTCCGTATATATAAATATGGCATAAAATGTCCTTTACTACATTACTCGTACGAAATAATCATCTACAATTCGTAATTTCTTATTTTGGGCTATAATTGTGGTTGTTGTTCAAATAATCATAAATTGTAGGTATACGAAACCGTGGTACGGTTTCGTAAACCGGACTGCATAATTGATTTTGAAGGATTTTTAAATAATAATTTCTCAAAAATGGTGGTGATTCAATACATCGTTTTATTTTCCCTATAGTATTCAGATTTACTTTTATAAACTATAATTATTTTAGATTTTTCACTTCAGTAACTTCTGAGATAAGAGAGGGGGGGGGAGGTATTTGTGTGAAAATATTATACCTTTCATGGTATACCATGCAGTTATATACTTTTGTTTCTGGGTTTAGTGTGTTTGAAATGAAATTAAATGAAATGTTGGTATCTATAGATGACCTTTAAATCTATAATTTAATCAAATTTGTGATAGGTGACTGACCTCGGAGATTTATTTATCTATCTATCGGGCTTTTGGACTACGTACTTTAAATTGCAATGTGGTTTCAATGTTTATACTTTAAGTTCGAAAGCATAATGACCTGTACTGTATTAGTGTTTAAATTTATAAAATACGCACAAAATTCATGTTATATGACTCATGTGGTCGATAAACTTTCACATGGCTGACATAAGATGTAAGTTTTGTGTAAAACATAAATGTAATCATCGTTCTTCTTATTAGGACTGTATACATTGTCAACAGAACCTATGTCTGACCTCGTGACTGGAGTTATAACCTTTGCGGTGATTCTATGCTTGATCGGCATTTTTGCGTGGAGGAAGAGGATTTTTTCGAAGTCTCCATCGTTGGAGCAGATCGAGATGGAGGACATGGAGGCGCAGCAAAGGTTGAGGGCAACGCAGAGTTCACCACAACCGTTTCCGCAGCCGGAACGGAATGATCCTGTTGTATTTCAGTTACCATCTGAACCAAGTTCGTCGCCAGTAACGGCTACACAGCAAAGATCAGTAAGAAAATATATTTACTTATAATAACTAAATTTATAGTGTAACGATATGGTAAATAGACAGCGTAATGTTGTGAATTTGACGAATGTATCTAGTTGTGAGATTTGTTCGCAAATCGGATAAATATTAATTATGCTTAATTCAACATAAGTAATTATAATTTATTTCATTCTATCATTATATACTCACTATACTTATTATTATAGACACACGCCTTTTCTCAATCTCTTTTATCTTTCTGTTATTTAAAAAATACTCTGTAATACTTCTATTATGTACCAAAAATAAATTAACAACTAGAGGTAACTGCTTACTATCAAGTGAGCCGTATGCTTGTTCTCCACCTTCATCTAAATATGAATTACGCTGGATTTTTGTCTTTATAACAATATATAGATATGTTAATTGTAAACTTTATTCTTGGAAACTAGATATACCTACTTAGTATAAAGTAAAATGATTATATCATAGATTATTACGTAAGTACGTTATATTAAGTCTATGGGTTATATTGTCCTGATGTTATATTTTGAATATATTATTTTAATATTACTCTCATAATATTTTATAAGGTTGTTGTGTAAATATATGGTGAAAGGACTGATAAAATAATTAATGAGATTAAAGTTTATATAAATTATACTTTAATTTTTACATTTATTATAATTAATTAATTTTTAGATATACAATTTATTACTTATAATTAATTGTCCTTATCAATAAAATATTTTTGACACAAGACTTTAAATATATAAGTGTTTTTGTTTTATTATTATTAGCTCCATATTAACTGCGTATACGGAATGACATTCTATAACATTTTTATGAGTTAACAATGTATTATAAAACTTATCTATACCTAGTTAGTTTGTCGTCACTGGACTCTGTGTATGGTACACTAAAACAAAAAAAAAAAAAAAAACTGTAAGAACTCTTTTATTATTTTTTTATGAATTGAATTTATGAAAATTTTGACTTAAATCTATTAGAACCTGAGTTTATATTAGTTTGGGAAATTGTATCTCAGAATCGGCTGCACTCAATCACACCTAAATTGCTGAATAAGTATAAAAACATTTGGTCCATGGATAAGTTCTACACATATGATACTTTACATACTGACTTATGTGGGATATACTTAATAGATTAGTATGTATAACAAGGTTTGTAGAGAATCAACACAGCAGTAAACCCTACAGATTAAGAAATAATTATTGAAATTGGTTCAAAATGGTGAATTTATTCCTTAATGCTGTATGCATTAATGAAAAAAGTAAAATTGATGAAGTCTTCATTTTTGAAATAATAAACTCGGCTGGTTATTAACACAAGATTCAATTTCTCATGTTATTTATAATAGGAATTTATTGATAGCTTACCTGTATGCAATTTCAAAGATAACAGACTGTTCCACTTCATTAGTTGTAAATGAACATCTTGGTCCCAATGCATCGGCACCATCATCAACATTCACTCTTCCCTCAAACTGAGGGTTATACAGCTTGATTAATTTCTTAGTCACATATTGGTACATCACAGCCAACATCATACATAAAGTGTTTTTGACGTATTTTGTAGCCTTTTCTTTATGATATGACAGCACCTATAACATTTTTAAGAAAGCTCATATAATTATTGTTTTTGCCACAATAATTATATCAGCTGCATCATCATCTGCACGTTCCAGGCCGAGCTCTCATGCTGCAAGCATAAACCGACCAACTACTAGGGTATGGTCGGGTAAGAATAAAATAAAAATAAAATATACATTTAGCGATTGACAATATACTCAGAATTTGTAAAGTCCATATGAATTACTCAGAGGAAAAAACTTGAATTTTTTTGCCTGAACTAAGAGATCCTACTAGGCATATTACTCTGTATAAGAAAAAAATGTGTAATTATATAACATTCGATAGTAGCATAGCCTGTGTGAATCATTATGCATTTTGTGTATATGACAACTAATATTTTGGCAATCTTTAAAATCTTATACAGTAAAAATTGCCCGAATATTAATTGTCATGTGTAGAATATGCGTAGTAGGATTTTTCTTGTAGGCAGATTGGAAAATAATGCTTTTAGCATTATTTCTATTGTAAATGTACAAGCATATTAGTGTACTAAGAATAAATAGTTATACCTATGCAGCATATTTAACGCTATCACTACCTGCGCCAAGCGGAGAATTTGAAGGCAAGTACTCCAGTAAATCGGCTTGTTTGTTGTCGATATTTTCTATATTCTGGAGTTTCGTGTCGTCAGTTGTTTCTGTTATGCGAGTTCGCTTTCTCTTATGCTATTGTTATGGAAATTTTAGTTAAACTCTCGACTTTGTTTAAGAGAGTGAGTAAAAATTCATTGTTGATCAGAACTCAACATTGCACGAGATTCAGCATCAAACTATTCCTTTGTAAGTTTCATTCTAAACCACTGTTTCAGGCTGTTGAAATATTTAGACGATGTTTCACCTAATACTTTGCTGAGTTTTCGTCTTGCGATATTTAATGTATCGGAAGACATTTATCTAACTTTTAGGTTACTTATTTTTAAATTATATTCATAAATATTTTAATGAATAGGTTGTAAATAGTTTGTTTTGTCTAATAAAGTAAAAAAAAATCAAGGATTAGAGGGCTTATGTTTAACGAAGAAAATGTAAATAAATTGAAACAGGCAGGTAATGATATACACATTAAAATCGTCTATAGAGATATTGTGAAATTTCTCAATTTACTAAAATAAAAATATAAATAACATGCAATATGTATATATTTTTGAAAAGCCCATTTTACAAACTATACTTCAAAATAAAAAAAATATATTTTCTTTACTTAAGAAAGACAAAAAATGGAAAATTCTTTTTCGTTTTCGTCTTTACTTAAGTAAAGACAAAAAATGGAAAATTGGTAAAATTAAAAATGAATGTTATTTATAAGAAAAAAGAAAAATAAAGCTAAGTATTCAAGTTTTTTTAAAATAATATAATAATTGGAAGTCAGTAAAACCATCCATGACATTAATAACGGTTCTGCAGTGGTTTTTCACGCTTTGAATCAAGTGATCAAAGTCTTGCTGTGGAATATTGTCCCAGGTCCTGTTTAGATGCAAAAAATTTTGCTTTTCAGTTGCAATGTTTGCAGGAAAATCCTTCAGAGCCTTTCTTTGGAGCATGCCCCACGCGTGCTCTATGGGGTTTAGGTCTGGTGATTGCGCCGGTCAGCTCAAAACCGACATCGTGCTCCTGCAGCCAGCTGGTCATGACTCGCGCTGTGTGCGGGCGGGCGTTGTTTTGCGTGAGTGTGAATTATTGGCCCATTTGTAGTCGATACGGATGGATAATTGGTCACCTGGTCACGGTGTTTTTCAGCGGTCATGGTGTTTCTGATCCAAACGAGGTCTGTTCTGCCACCGAAACGAATTCTCGCATAAACCATAATTGTCCCGCCATGGTAAGGATGGATTTCCTGAGGGTGTCGCAAACGGCTCTCACGACCAGGAACTCGCCATACATGTACTCTTCGTGAATCACGATGGAAATCAAATCGGGACTCATCGGTAAACAGTACTACAGATCACTGGATATCCTCCCAGAACAAATGTTTACGGGCCCACTGTAATCTTCGTCCACGATTTCCTCGGCGCAGCGCTGGAGTACGAAGCGGTCTGCGAGCATGCAGATTAGCTTCATGCAGTCTTCCCTTACAGTTTGGTTACTCATAAGCAACTGGTGCTCTGACTGGAGTCTTTGGATTAATTGCATGGCCGTAACATTTGGTTGCATTCTCGCGGCAACTTGCAATAATCGGTCTTGCTGGTAAGTGGTAATGCGCCTCCCGCCAGGGTGTATTTCAGCCACTTCACTAGTAGCACGATAACGTGACCGTAATCTTGATATCACATTTTGTTTTGTTTCAATCGCCTTAGCCACCGTCCATTGAGTAGCCCCTGTTTAGAGCATGCCTACTGCCCGTAACATCTCTCTTGTTAAATGGCGCCGCTGCATGATGAGAACAATCGCATAAACTCCGAATTAATCACTAACTTGCTTTAAAACATCAATTTGACAAAAAAGATTTCCAAAAACTATGATAGGTAAATTGAAACAATTGAATTTCACCTTGGTAATGCCGCGCAAATCAATTGTTTTTAATTTTTTTTTTCAAATTCAAATTTAGAATCGTTAAAAAAGACATACAAAATATCTCCAAAAAAAGGCCAGTATTTTTAGTATTTAAGAACTTTATATAAAATATACCACTGTACAAATAATGGTGTTTTTAACATTGACTAATGAATATGAAATGAAGTTTCTGACTTTTAATGGGTATCGTAATAATAAATTATCTTTATTTTAGTTGAATCAAACTAATATTTTGATTTGGTATTTTTCGATTTGTTTTGTACAATGGCAACATTGATGTCAAACTACCAACTGACAACACAGTGATATTCAGTGTTACCAGATAAAATTTGCCAATATATTGACACCGGTTTCTAAACTAAAATCCTATTTTTAAAGTCGGTTAAAATCTAAGAACAAGGAATTACATAGGAGTGATAAAATTGAATATAGAAAATGTTATACGGCCGTATGTATAACCTTATTAAATTCAGATACAACCTACTTGCGTACTTTCTACATAAACTGTGTCGAATATATAATCTAGTAATGATTTGGGGAGTGGGCGAGACTGTGAATGCTTGGCAGTTGCAATGTCCTTCATCTGATATGCCTAATATATGTCACTCACAAAGGCAGTGGGATGAACGACTCTGTATTAAAACACAGCAGAACCTTGTAACCCATTGTGAATCCGCTGAAACTCGTGCCCGTCTTCAAGCAGTAGCTGAAAGGGAATCGGGATATTGGTTGCAGACATTCCCGTCAACTAATACTGGAATGCTTCTCGACGATTGCTCCTTTACATTATTAATAGGTTTGCGGTTGGGTGTAAAAATAGTTCAGCCCCATCGTTGTAGCTGTGGAGCCTCAGTTGAAGAGCTGGGATACCATCTGTCTGTCTTGTGTGAGAAGTGCAGGTCGAATACCTCGCCATGCCATGATCAATAACATTATTCATAGGGCACTTGTGATGACACAAATACCAGCGATTTTGGAACCAAATGGCATTTTCCGTGAGGATGGGAAACGACCTGATGGCGTAACTTTGGTTCCTTGGAAAATGGGAAAATGCTTGGTGTGGGATGCGACGTGTGTAGACACGTTAGCTCCAAGCCATTTATCTAAATCGTCTTCTTGTTCGGGTGCTGCGGCGGTGACAGCGGAAGCAATAAAGAGGCGTAAATACTCACATCTGGAGGGGTCTTGTTGTTTTCTGCCATTTGCTGTAGAGAAGATGGGCCCGTGGGGCTCAGATGCAAAGAATTTTTATCGAACGATCGCAGCGCGCCTCATCGAGGTTACTGGTGACCCAAGAGCTGGTAGCTACTTTGCCCAAAAGATAAGTTTGGCAATCCAAAGAGGTAATGCTGCCAGTATCTTGGGTACGCTGCCTCGGTGTGGTGCGTTGGGGGATTACTTTTAATTAGTATTAGTATTTAAGGAATTTTATATTAACTTTAATTTATTGTTCTATTGTTTTTATCTAGTAATGTAAAATTTGTCACTAAGAACAAAGAATTACATGGAAGGAATGAAAAAATAAAACTGTAAAACAGTCATTTCAATATGACAAAAATAAGATTTAATATATATATATATAACTGCATATATATATATATATATATATATATATATATATATATATATATATATATTAAACTGCTGATTTATATATATATATATATACATATACACACACACATATATATATATATATATATATATATATATATATATTTAAATTCTTTATTTATTTATAAAGCGTTTTTATATATATATATATATATATATATATATATATATATATATATATATATATATATATATATATATATATATATATATATATCGGTCTTAAATTCGCGAAAACATCATATGTATAAAAACGCTTAACATATGTCTAAAAAAATACAAGCGGAATTTAGAAGCTCGCCTTTTCGGAGTCTCTTAATTATGGCTTCTGCCCTACCAAAAATATTTTATGCTCCACTTTAAACTTCGGTCTAGCTACGGCTCTATATTCAGGTACGAGTAGTTACTGATTCGATACGTCGTTTAGCTAAAGAGGGGATTTATTGACACTTCTCTCATCAACTTTATTGAGAGGGTAGTTTGTTATAGAAGTGTGACCGGTTCGCTGCATAAAATATTAACAACAATATGTATTACCAAAATTTACTTCTGGTTATATTAACCTTTATATTATACGATAACACAGTGAATATATACGGTGGGTTTAATATATTGTTTATTATACAAATATGAATGAATAATATGTGTAATAAGTATTAATTTTTCGACAATTTTAAAGCCTATAGAACTTTCGATGTGGACGGTGTTGAAACTATACTAGCGTTGGAAAACGAGACGATTAATATAGAATGCAAGACCGATGGGCCACTCTCATACTGTGGATTGATAAATCCGACTGGGGAAAGATGTTCGTAAGTAGTTCTGTTACTCTTGTCGTAATAGGTACCTAATTAGTCAATTATTTGAAAATGTCATTGATCTTATATTATTAGGTAGGATTTTAAAGAACCGATTTATAAAATAGCAGATAAAAACTTTGTTTTAAAAATTATTTATGTCGAAAATTATAAAATTACCTTCTTTAATATTAAATAACTGTCTATAGAAAATTTTCGTTAAAAATATAAAAATATCTACTTGAATTGTACTTAATGGACGATAATGGAATAGTAACCTCGCCTGCATTATCGGTATACGCTGGTTGGGACAACAGTGCGAGATGATAGGCGAGGATGAAAGCAGATCAGTTAGCCCATCGCGACGAAGTTAACCACGATGGTTTCCAGGGGGAGCCGCGTGGTGGTTGACCTGATAGGGTATATTGCTAGCAATGGGTATGTTAGACCACATTACTAACAAATCCTTTCCCCCTGTCCACTTGATGTTGGGTGACTAGTAACTACGAAAGACCCAGTTACTTATGTAGTATTTATTACCTACTTAGGAAGTTACTAAGGAAGGTACCTTATGTAAACGTAGGTATTACTATTAATGCTCTAGGTATATAGTTAGTAGCATTTTTTTTCTATTGAAGGGATATTATTCTTGTAGATTTGGCAATCCCATTGAGATCATTACTTTATAGATATCTTATTTTTAGGTTTAAAGGTCAAGAGCTTCACCTGGGTAGTTGTTTTAATAAAGTGAATGTGACAAAACAAGATATTGGAGAATGGACTTGTCACCTAGGCAAAAGTGCTATAGGCGTGGAAACAACGAAGAAGATAATGGTCAGAATAGTGAACCGTGTTGCCGCTATAAAGCAGAATGTAACAGCTGTACATGGTAGAGAAATCACTTTGGAATGCGTCACTACAGAGGGATTGAGGTCTTTAGTATACTGCCGCTTTGAGCCTCCAAACCGGATCGCATTCAATATTAATTCAGCTGTGAATTTTTCTAAGTACGTAAGATATTATTTTAATCATTTTTAATTAATTAAGTACTAAAGAAAGAAGCGTAATCTAAGCCAATTTATTTAACGAGTATTTTATTTTTGGGAAGAGACGTCCTTGAAATGATAGCTAAAAATGTTTATGTACATGTGATAGGGCATTTCATCAGGACCAATACTAAAACATTATATAACTATTCCCTGCTTCATTGCCGTCCTGACCGGATGCCCCTCAGGTATACGGCCTACTAAATTATAACCTTCTTTATTAACATAACTAGCGGCCCGTCCCGGCTTCGTACGGGTGGACATTTTTACATATTACATTTTTATCTGATTTTACCTAGCTACCTATTTCATAGATGTACCCGCCCCCATTTGCCCCTCTCTCGCACCGCGACAATGCCTGACTAGTTAGCCACGCGTCCGAAATGTCGCGGGCGGCGGGCAGCGCCTTCTCTATATTTGGCTTTTTAACATAATATCTTTCGAATGGAATATATCTACGATTTGAAAAATTCAAAAGTAATCTGCAGATATTGAAACAATTTTGAATACAAAATAATTTATTTGGGTAAGGATTAATAAATAGGTATGAATAACACGTACAACGCGACAGCGTTATTTTTTCTATTTCTATAACTTATTAAATTTGTAATATCTATTGAATGAAATAGCCGATTTGAACAATTCAAAAAGTACTCTACATAAATTGAAACGGTTTTGAAAACAATATGATTTATTTGAATAAGGATTTAAACGGAAGTATGAATAACATGGTGTAATTTTGGTCGATATTTTTTATCAACTTTTAAAATGTAAAAAGTGGTTATTGTAACATAACGATAATAGTTAGATATATAGCATCGCGAAGTTTTTTTTTGTAATTATAGATATTTTCTTCAATTTTGTAGAACATACTTTTGTTCTATCACTAATAGTTTCCGCAGCGCACGCGACAAAAGATATTTTGCAGCATTATTTACACCTTGAGTTACGTTACTAAAATTTTAGTAAGGATTCCTAATCTTTTCTAGTAATAAATATATGTCTATGTTACTCAGGGTGAATGTAACTTTCTAATGGTGAAAGAATTTTTGAATTCGGCAAAGTAGTTTTTGAGTTTATTCATTACAAACATACATACACACAAAAATACAAATCTTTCCTCTTTATAATATTAAGTGTAGATGTTAGATTTTAAGCCAATACGGCTTCAAATCTACATCTAACAACTAACAAAATAGCTCTTGTTATCTGATGTAAAATAAATTTGAATTAATATTTCCAGTGCAATTTTGGAGAAATATTATTATCCTCCAACCAGAAGTATGGACCGTGGTGACTGCGCGGTAACAATACGGAATGTACAATATGAGGACATCGGTTCTTGGACTTGTGGAGCTGGACTGGACGATGGAAAAGAGTATATTGATGTTATCATGCTTAAAGTGGAAGGTATGTAATTTTCGTTTTCCAGGTCGTTGTGTTAACATTAAATATACGATAAAATTTATGTAATTTTAACGGAACTATGGATCATAACTTTGGAAGTAATAAGTAGATACTTGTATCGATGATTTGTCCATGTTATTAGCATTTTAAACAGCGTAGATACTTACTCAAGGAATAGCAGTAAAAATTTTTACTCACAAAACTATGCACAAAACTCATGTAGTGGATAAGGATAAACTTTCACATGACTGATATAAGACATACCTAAGTTTTGTGTAAAACATAAATGTAACCATTGCTCTTTCCATTAGGACTGTATACATTGTCAACAGGATCTAAGTTTGTCCTCATATATGGAGTTACAATCTTTACGGTGGCTTTCTGCTTGATCGGCGTTGTTGCGTGGAAGCACAGGATTTTCTCGGAGTTTCTGCCATCGCTGGAAGAGATCGAGATCGCGGACATGGACGCACGGCAAAGATTAAGGGCAACGCAGAGTTCACCACAACCGTCTCCGCAGCCAGAACGGAATGATCCTGAAGTTGTAGTTCAGTCACCATCTGAATCAAGTTCGTCGCCAGTAACGGCTACACAGTAAAGATCAGCAAGAAAACGTATTTACCTATAACGTATAGTGTAACGATATGATAAATAGACACAAAGTTGTGAATTTGACGAATGTATCTAGTGGTGAGATTTGTTCGCAAATCGAATAGATATTAATTATGCTTAATTTGACATAAGTAATTATAATTTATTTAATTCTATCATGATACACTCACTATATTATTATATCCACACGCCTTTTCTCAATCTCTTTTATCTTTTTATTATGTTCAAAAAATAAATTAATAAGTAGAGGTAACTGCTCACCATCAGGTGAGCCCGATGGGTGACAGGTACCATGAGGGTTATATTGTTCAGACGGTAGATTTTGAATATTATGGGAGTAAAAACAATCTATGGTTGTGGTATAAATAAATGTTGAGAAAGGTCGGATAAAATAATTAATGAAATTAAAGTTTATATAAATTATACTTTACTTTTTACATCTATTATAATTAATTAAATTGTAGATATACAATTTACTACTTATAATTAATTGTACTTATCTATAAAATATTTTAGACACAAGACTTTAAATTTATGAGTGTGTTTGTTTTATTATTAATAGCTTTATTTTAACTGCGTATACGGAATGACATGTTAATACATTTTCATGAGTTAACAATGTATTATAAAATTCATCTACAGTTAGTTTATTATCGTTGGACACTGTGTTTGGTACACTGAAACAAAAAATAAACTATGTAAGAACTGAAGTATTTTTTTTTAATATTACGAATCACTTCCATCAGTTTGTTTTAGATAGCCTGTGATATTTTTAATTAAAATAATTTACATAAACAAAACAGTAAAATGTAGCACTAAAAATTTTGCTGAACTAATATTATAGTATTTAATGACGATTGAGCGCTGTCGTCTGAGATACAGAATTATTACCTAGTTCAGTCACAGATGTTTAAGCTAATCCAAATGTACAAAAAAGTCGTACTTACTTTTACTGTAATTTCCAGTGTTAAGTTTGTTACAATTATGGTTATGCAATAAAGTTCTTTTTATTGTTATTATTATATTATGTAAATAGGTGCAGGTAGGTCGAAACACTGACACAATTTTGTTTTTATTTTTTATTAAAAATTCTGCGTGCACGCTCTTTTATAATCTCATGCATAGGGCACGTGCCTAGTTTGCTTTAAGAATAATTCGCCTCTGTTTAAAACTATTCCAAATTTCAAAATAATAATGATAGCATTGGCACAGTGTAGTTTATTATACTGTGTAAGTAAGATTGTTGTGACAGACAGATGTACAAAGTTGTACCATAAAGGTTTTTTTTTATACTATTCTAGTACGAATTCTTCATAATACCAATACTAAGGAGAGGAAGAATATGTAATCTGTTTCATATATATCTAATAATTTATAAAATTTTATATTAAATTAGCATTTGTTCAAGGACTAAAGAAAAAACAGGGAAACGGTACATACTTTTTATTTTTAGTATATTGTCAAAACTTATTTATGGGTTTTTGCTATAAAAAAGAATTTATGTTCTCGGCATAAACTTAACTTTCACTCCATTTGTGGAGCGTAAAATAAGATCTGGTGTCAATTTTGGTTCAATATTGGAGGGTAACAGTTTGAAATGCTTGATTATTCCAGCCAAAGTAATTTTCATCTCCAAAATAGCGAATTTCTGTCCTGTAAACAATAATTTTGTGTTAATAATATTTTTTTTTGGTCGCCGTGTGGTTCCTGTATAGAATAGGCCACCCCTTTCTTTCATGTGAGTGTCGTAAGAGTCGACTAAGCGAGGGCGAGGGATGGGTAGCAGTGTCTCTCTTAAAACATCTCTTAGGCCTAACTGCGTTTGCCAATCCGCCTGCCAAGCGTGGCAACTACTGATAAAATCCCCCCAGGGGAAGGCTTATGTTCGGCAGTGGAAAATTAAAGGCAGATGTGATGATGATGATGAATATTGTTTTTGTGAACGTATCTCTTAGTTAGGTGTTTAGTTCAAGTGAAGAATTTTTTTTTTATTTTAGTATGACATGACGACACCATCCTAAGCGAACACAGAGACGACATGGTCAATGAACCTTCAACTCTCAACGAGTGGTCGCACTATGTCCGCTCACTAAATTCTTTTGCACGCTATGTTTAAAGGACTGGAAATTATAGGACGAAGGAAATAAATCATGGGAAAGTCCATTCTACATCATTATAGTACGGTTTATATAATAGTTGGCAAACTTATTTGAACGTGAGTGCTGTCGCTGATCCATGCTCGTGCGGACGAGTACCGCACGGTATTGAAAATGCTATCGTCATCAGGATTTTTAAGCTTCGAGTACAGCAGGGGTGAGATTGTTAGTACCTAATGGGGTCATTAGTCTTCTGCGCTAACAATATACTCTGTTAGCTGTCCATCCTGGAAACTATCGTAGTTAATCTTCATTGATATCATCACGATATTACTATAGGGAAATATTTATTTAGAGTATTTTTGTGATAATTTCAGTAATATTTGGTTACTTTTTCATTACATTATATTCTATAGTATAGTTTTAGGTCTTGGTATTGAAAGAGATTATACATAAACTCTTCTTGTTAGTAGGTAACAATTTTGTCGGTTTGAACTATGCTATCTCTATATTCATATATTGGCGCAGCTACAGTGAAGGATTATAGGTGAAGATGAGAACAAGTCAGTTGGTGCATTGCAATTAATTTACCACGAATTAACCAGGATGCTTTTCAGGAGGGCCGCGTGGATGTCGATCTAGGTGGGTATATTGTGAGTAATGGGCTGCTAGTCTCTATTACTATCAATTCCTTTAGGGTAGGCGTGAAGATAGAGAATTAAGTTATAAGTAAATTGCAATCTTGTAGAAACTTACCAATACAGTTTCTTGGGCCAGCGCTAAATGGCAGCCAACTGAACGCACTTCTGGGAATCGATGGATCGAAACGTTCTGGTTTAAACTCATCGGGGTCTTCGTACAAATCAGGATGTCGGTGCATATGAAATATGTCGATAAGCAACGCCGTATTGGCTGGTATTTTGAGGCCATCTATTTCTGTAAAGGGTTGAGAATTGTACACAGTCGATTGATTATATATTTATGGTAAATATCTTTTAGATTCAAGCAAGAGAGGGCTATTAGGAGAATTGTCTTGACTAAAGATAAATTATTAAGTAATTACTATCGTATGACGTGTAGCAATAATGGTAGCATTTTTATTTTACGACCAGAAGCGGAAATTATTAAAAGTAGTTTGGAATACACAGTTGCAACTTTTTAGACCTTACCATATGGATGTATTATTACAATTTCTATATGGTTGGTCGTAAATATGTTTAATATTTTAATATAAGTGTCATGGGAATGCTTTTTTTTTATTAGATAACCTGAGTTTAGATAACCTTTCTGAAAGAAACGCTTCTCGGATCAGAGGTTACTCCTTATTATCTTTTACTTGTGGCCTACCAGTTTATACCAGGTGGTGGTACCATTTTATTATCATCCATTAAAATACTAATATTTCTTCTGTGGTGTAACTGGAACCACACTCGGCTCAGATAGCAGGCACGCGTGAGTTCAAATTCCATCGGACCGAGTTATCAGAAGTTATTTTTCTAATAATATAATATTATTAATTTCTATTCATAATATCCTTGTGTCTTTAGCAACATGAAGTATGTATAAAAAAGTATTAAAGTACTTAAGTTTTTGCTCTTGATAAGTATATGTACAAATCTTACTATTCTACTTATTATATTATAAATATGAGTTCAATTAAACGTCTGGACGGATTTGAACAAAATTTAGTACGTGAGTAGATTACATCTTAATAGATAGGATATATATTTTGTGTACTGTTTAGCCGTGGTATATAACTAGAAATGAAATAATGGTAAGGAAATAAGTATATAAAATACATATATTAGGTATTAGCGTATTTCTTACCAGTATCGCGAGTTATAAGTCTTTCAATCAAAGGAACCGATGGGTATAGCCGAAGGGATTCTTTGATGACCATTTCTAAATATTTCATTTGTTGAAGTTCACTGTAAAACATAAAAAAAATAAATTAGTCTGCCGTGTTTCGTGTTAATGGTCGAGGAATGGGCAGTAACGTCTCTCTTAAAATATTAACAAAGTCAAACTGCGGTTGGTAACCTGCTTGCAAAACGTGGCGAGGCTTATGTTTAATATTGGACAGTTAAAGTCTGATCCATTAAAAGTTACCAATTACAATATTCCATTTTATTTCCAGTGAAAAATTATGAAATGTATTCAGAAGAATATAAAGACCACGTGGTACGGTATACTAAGTCAATATAAAAACCAGACCAAAGGATACGCAAAAATATTTCATACTTACGAATATGTTGGATCTCTCTCTAAATCGTCACCGAAAATTTGCTTTTGTTCATCAAAAAGTTTTTGTTGGACGTCATCGCGGTTGGATATATTATAGAGGCAAAATACAATACCAGATGTCGTGGTATCATGCCCCTAAAATTTTAGGCACAGTTTATAAATGTGTAATTGATAATTTAAGAAAAGAAATAGTTACAATGTTCATAATGATTGATAATGAATTGAGAAAAAAAAAAAAACATACTGCATAAACTACTAATAATGGGGCAATGGGTTTCATTTTGAAATGAACTTATTGTGTATTTGAGTCAAAATTACTTTAAATTTGTTTTCACGGTGATTCGTAATATAATTCTCCAAAATTTACTCCATTGTCAATAATATATTAGGCTAATAGTTTCTTGTGTTGGATCTCATGCTTTTTCGGTGAGGTATATACAAAAGCCTCTGATATGGCTTGTTGCCGTCGTGTGGTCCCGACATAGAATAGGCCATTCCTTGTGGCGTGGTAAGAGGCGATAAAGGGAACTTAACGGTCGAGGGATGGGCAGCATAGTAGGGACGTTGTTGCTCATATTGCAACTAATGTTGAAGAGGGTTCAAACATTTCGCCTGCCAAATGTGGCAGTTACTGGTAAAACTCATCTTATGGGGAAAGCTTATGTTCAGCAGTGGGCAGTCAACGGCTGATATGATGATGATGATGATAGCTTGTTGAGTAATAATTTTTCGTGCCCGTACATGAATTTGAAAAATTGGGTTTCGGTCTTGAAAATTTTGGAATGCAAACAAGCGATCCTGGATCACCCGTAATAATGAGACAAGGGCAAATCATACTCGTATGTCAGAGACGGCTGGTTCCATAAAAAAGGCGCAAATATAGAGTATATTTAGGCATGTATTTGTTAGGCTTCGCTTGTATTATGGGGTAAGTACCAGACAATTTTTAAGAAAGACTCAACCAGTCTCGTAAAAACGTTTAGGTTGGACAAGGTCACACTTATTATCTTAATGTATAATGATGAATTAACATCATATAAATATTTTAAACTTACCTCAAACATGAAGGTATCAACTTCTTCTCTTACATGTTCATCCTTTATGGGTTTACCGTTAACTTCTGCTAGCAGTAACAGGTCCAAGAAAGCGTGTTTATTTTTGATACCTTCAATAATATAATATTCAAAATTAATAAGTCTTAAAATTCTGCTTTTTTCGTTTTGGTAGTGGAAGTATAAATGAATATCGTATTACATACCTCGTATATACGTATTACTATATATTACCGTATTATTATACGTATATATACTATATATTCATATAATAATATCGCCATGCGATCCCGGCATAAAATGGATCACCTTTTCCTTTTCCGTGGGTGTCGTAAGAGGCGACTAAGGAAATTTAATGGTCAAGACATGAGTAGAAGCATACCTTTTAAATCATTACCAAAACCTTTTTGTGGTTGTCAACTCGCGTGTCAAGCATGGTAATTATTGGCAAAATAATCAATAGAGGGGAGGGTAAGCCTATATTCAGCAAAACACATCATTGCCATATGTCTAATTATGATTAAATTATATAAATATTTATGACAAGTTTATGTACTGTACTGAAAGTCCACGCTCTTTAAAAAATCTTTTGTACAGTTACTTTATAAATTACGAATACATTACAATTAAATATGCATACATGTCAAGTTTTATTTGATCCTAGCTTTCGCTCTCGACTTCGTCCGCGTGACCGGAACATATTTACTGACCGCGGTAAAAAGTAGCCTACATCTCATATAATACAGATTGTGGTCACCTATCCTAGTTGGAACCATGGCCGGGGTTGCTTAACTTGCATTAACCCTACGACCTCTAAGCAATCACTTACTCCTCATTGTATTATGTACTTAAATGATAATTACGTACCTAATACCTTCATAAGGATTCAGCCAATTTAACTAATCGATTAATTTATATCATTTTATATGTGTGTTACTGCATAATCTATAGTTGCTGCAAGTATCGTGAAGTGTGGAGCAAATTGCGACGATTCGAATTCGAATCAGCAGCCACATTCACGTCATTCGTTATACTTTACTTATAACGTCACCTCCTCGTTTCATATATATTCAAAATATTGTAAATTTATATAGTTCAGTTGCTTACATATTAAAATCATATCCAAAACAATAACAAATTCGTTATTGCTGCAAATCCAGTGAAATAAACATGGAACTACCACATGGAATCACATTATTTAATGTGTGTGTTGGTTTGTCAACACACACATGCTTAAATAATGTGATTCTTTAGATTGATATACGAGTATTTTTTTTAACCGATTGAAATAAAACAAACACTAAATATTAAGTGGACACAACCGCAATGCATCAGTAAAAACAGCATTCAATTCGGTTAAGCCATTTCTGAGATTAACATAAACAGACAAAAATTATAAAAATCATTGTTTTGGATTCCATTGCATTAATAAAGTCCCCCTATAATAGTTTTTCTTATATGTATATCTTCTATGTACAGACAGCGACCAATTACGATTTTATTATATGTATTAATTTAAATTAATATCATGCAGTGGTCTTAATTTTATAAACAATCTTGACAGCCTTTAATTTATTATTTTATTTCAATACGAAAGTTGCAATATAATTATTTAATGAGTAATAATTGTGATACACTTTGGACACCAATTGATCATGACATCTTTTTTTATTATAAAACTTATGTAAAATAATAATTATGATAAGTGGACATAACATAATGACACAAATCACGATAATACAAACAAGGATAGCCGAAAATTGCAATATAATTGATTTTAATTAAATTATCTAAAATGGACGTTAGAGCTGTCTTTGTAGAACGATTTAGTAATTTAAATTTCTATCATGAATTATTCTAGTCCTTTGCTACTAAATGCTAAATGGCATCGTTCGTCGGAAAAAAGTATTAAGGAGCGTTCATATTACCTTAGATTATGAATTATAATAGTATTTTATACAATATCTATGTTCATAAATTTTCCTTACCAAAATGTGGCAACGTCATAGTTATCTGTTAATTTTTAAAACAATTTAATATGTATAAATTTTTCTGACAAATTATTTACTACGATTACGTTTGCTGCGTTATTTTTCAAATACATTTTTGCCATTCAAAACCAAATTTTCAGTTCTAATTTAACAAGAATATTATTGCGTGATTTACGTTTTAATTCGTAGAATAAGCGTTTTAATTAATCAGAAACATTAAATATTATTCAATTGTTTTTAAAATTTGACAGAGAATTACGGCGTTACTACACTTTGTTATAAACACTCTTAATCCATCTTGCGATTTGTAAGTAATCGTGATATCTAATACCATTTTTAATAATAAGCAATTGTTTGCGAAGTATATGTGCAGTTTGTGATGCTATTAGGAATTTCTTATATTACCCTCTCCTCTATTTATTTTTATGTTATCACAAGTTGTTATCAAACAGTTTAGAAATCAACAATCGATTCTATGGATTATTTCCATAATCGACTCTAAGTAAATCTAACAAGTTATTTATAGTCTATATTATACATTCTAATATTATACATTGGGTCAAAACATCGAAAAATACATATTACATACCTCCTATTCCTTTATTGTAAAGAGGATTAAAATTCTCATTTCAGAATGGTTAGATGGGTTTTGGCAATTTTTTAATATTTGTAGATTATCAGGAAAATAAAAATGGAGAATGCTGTACACATTATCGATCAGTACTGACGATAGGTACGAGAATATTTAATGACTTTTTTATTATATTTAGGTCACTGCCAAGCCAACGAAGACAACATGATAAAGGGACTTACGTCAACACATGGTCAAAACAGTGATGAATCTTTTATGACCTATAACCGATTATAACAGTATATATCTTAGTATTTGGAGATCGCATAACTGGCATTACTAGAACAGAAAAACGTCAATAGTTAACAGCCAGAATGAGTAAAATATTTCTGATGAATTAAAAATATATTTAAAAATTGACGCAATAGTGGTTATGTTACTTTGGTTCCAGGTTTTATTTCTGGCGATAAAAATTCCATGAAAATGAACTTTTCAGAAATGAGTGTGAAAGTGTAGACGCTTATTTTTATATCAATACTTAAACTTGCTTTTTGCTCACTTTTTAATGCGCTTGGTTTCAGAAATAGAAACACTAATGAAATAAACCACTTATAGGTGGCTTAAGATAGAACGTACACCATATTTTAAGCTGCGGTTCAAACTGCGGTTGCTAACCCACCTGCTAAGCACGGCAACTAGTGGAAAACTCCCCCTTATGCAATGCTTTTCTTTATGCAACTTAGAATGGCGAACAAGCTAACGGTTCATTTGATGAAAATTGGTAACCGTTGCCTATACACATGAGCAGGACCATGGACATAACAGAGTATATTGTTTCGTTCATGATACCCCCCATGCGTTGCTATTCCTGAGGACTAAGGTGCTATGCCTCTGTACCCTGTAAATTCACTGCCATATCCCACCCTTCAAACCGAAACACAGCCATGCAAACACAACTGCTATTTTAAATTGGACTTTCAGGAATACAAAAGAAACGCCGCTTTCATTTTGGTGCAGTAGTTTGTGCCGAAACAAACATATTGATAGATGGGTAGATAATATTGCTAAAAATCATTCTTTTTGCTCCCCTTATTGGGGAGGCCAATGTTAGGCAATGGACAGTTAACGGCCGGTATTATCATTGTAATGATGACGATGATGATTGTTTTGACCACTACTAGTGTCATTAAGATCATTCATATTATTTTTACTTAAATATCTCCACATACAGACGTCATGTAGTTACAATTTTATTGTATTAGTAAGATAAGATAGTAAATTTTGCTTACCAAATTCTGAAGCGTCGCTCAAACGATTAGTATTTAACTTCTTCAATTCATTGCGTCTAGTCTCGATCACACTATTTGATTGGCCATGTAGTATTTTCAATCCTGAGTCTTGTTCCCTCTTCATTGATAACAGTCTGAAAGTTGCCTCAATCCCGGCTAATGCGTTACGCATTCTTACGGCTACTATTTGAGATACCCTGAAAAATTATTTTTAAATTATACTCACAACATAACTAAACTAGACGTGTTTCCTGACTTTGATTGAGAATGTTAGACTACAGTATTTTTTTTATGCAACTTAGAATGGCAAACAAGCTGACGGCCCACCTGATGGAAAGTGGTAACCATCGCCTATATACGTGAACAGTTTCATGGACATAATAGAGTATACTGTTTCGCCCATGATACCCCCATGCGTTGCCATTCCTGAAGACTAAGGTGTTATTCTTCTGTGCTCTGTAAATTTACTGCCATATCCCACCCTTCAGACCGAAACACAGTCATGCAAACACAACTGCTTCACGGTAGAAACACCAATGGGACAAAGGTACCCAAGCAAACGACTTTTGTACAAAGTCCCTCTGGTACATCGGTGTACGAAATTGTATTATATATAAAATAATATTTAAAACCGTTTAATCATTTACTCGTAAGCATGATCACATATGTAATAAATAAATTTCTAAACATATTTAACACATTTTTACATTTATAAATTACTAGTTTTTAGACGCTTGATCGCGATATGTTTACGGACTGAAATAAAGAGTAGCCTATATCCTTCTCTATCTAATATAGCATTTGTATATATAATTCTCTATATAAAAATATAAAATAACCAGTGCGTGTTGCCAGTGATGACTTACGGAACCGAAACGTGGTCCTACAAGATTGCCCGTATGCAAAAGCTACAAGTTACTCAGCGGGCTATGGATAGGGCTATGCTCGGAGTCTCTTTACGTGATGGAATCCGAAACGAGGATAATATGTCAAGATACATTTTATCCACAAATAAATACAATATTGATTAAAAAAAAAAACGGAATCAGCGAATTCTCAAATTAGTAAATGCAAGCATGGTCGTGCGGTCCCGGTAAAGAATAGACCACCCCTCCTTTCTCTGTGGGTGTCGTAAGATGCTACTAAAGGAACTTATTGGTAGAAGAATGGGCAGCAGCGTCTCTCTTAAAGCATCCCTAAAAGATTATGTGCGGTTGCCAACCCGCCTGCTGAGTGTGGTAACTTCTGAGAAAACTTCTCTTTACGGAGAAGGCTTAGGTTCAGCAGTGAGCAGTTAACGGTTGAATGATGAAAACGATGAAATGCAAGCATAAATAGAAATCCAACAGTATATGTCATGTCACGCGAGTAGTTTGCTAGTTCATTTAATTAAGGTAACATATAATTACGGATATATAGAAGGACTTAATCAACTGTTTTAATGCATACTCATCGTGTAATAAGAAGATACAATAGAATTATTGAAACAATGTATTAAAGATTATTAGCTCGTTCTCATTATGATAAAAGCCTGGTTAGTCTTATGGCATTGTTCTTATATGTATATGTATATAAAATAGATTATACAATGTTATAATTTAATTACATAGGAGTATTTCAAATAACTTTTGAAAGAGATCAGTATAAAGGTATAATATGCATACGACAGATAATACAAATTATTTTGAAGTCATGTATTGGGTGATGCTGTATATAGGTTATGGTTACCATTATATATATATATATAGACTTTTTCAAATTTTTTTTGTTCTCTCTGTTTGTCTGTTTGTATGGGCTAATATCCAAAAGTTTTGGACCGATTAAAACGAAATTTTGCATAGTGGTACTTTTAATCACGAAAAATTAAAGAGTTCCTGTGGGATAGTTAAAAAAACTATATTAACTTATATAGCTTAGTACACAACCTACTTAAGTAAAGTCATTTTGACCTAAGGCAAAAAGTGAGAACGACACGTCAATTGGTAATTTTGGTCCAGTATGCCCAGATATAATAAATAGGTAGGTACATACATCGATATTATTATATATTATAAAAACAGCAATAAAAATTCCACCCAATAAAAGCAACTGTTTTTGCCTATCCCAATTGGAGGCAGGCATAAAATATATGTATGTACGAGTATGTGTGTAAAACAATTATAATGTATAACAATTAATTTTATATTATTAATTCTTCATGAGAATAACATGAGCATTATTATTTTTTTATGATTAACATTAGAGTTTTGTAAAGTTATGCAATACAATAAAATGCATGCATCTCAAAGCATCGCATCGAAGGCTTTTCGGAGTTTCTTCTGTATTCTATTCATACGTAATACAATTTTTACTTACCTCTCTATAGCTTTGACGTATTTCGATTCTGTATCCGTTTGAGCATTGACGGGCACCCCCATGATTGATTCTGTAAACAGTAAATGAATGTCTACCTATTACTTACATAAAACTATTTCTTTTAGAAACTAAGAAATATTTGTTTTAATGGAATTTACTTTAATTAAGAAATAATGTAAATATTAAATTTAATTTCCAACTGTTTATCAATTCTGTCGTATAGTGCGCCTCTTGCGCAAGCTAGTTTGATATCGGAAACTCTGTCGGGACCTCACTATGGGCCAATAGTCCAACATGATACGAATCTGTCCCAAATCACGACCTATCAAAAATCAAGAAACCATAATTCTACATTGTCAAAAATTTATCCCAAAGTAGTTCTTTAAATGTGGTGAGTTGAACGATCAGTTAGGTCTGATGGATGAATGTACGATGTAGAGATGGCATCACATTTTCATACAAACGCAAGATCTGCCACTAAATTTTACTCGACGAACGCTATCCTAATGACTTCAATTTCAGTATTAATAATTGCAATAGTTAACTCCGGGGAAACGTTAGTAGTTTTTGATAATGACACATTACATTTTAAAATTACTTAAACGCCATTACATTTTAAAAAAATAATAAAAAAGAATATCTTACATAAACAGAAACTACTCTTGGATGCACTTGTAAATTGTAATTCACTTGTAACGTTTTTCTTTTTGTTTAATTTGTCACTACAGTAGTTTTTTAAGTTACTATCTATATATTTATTTACTTATTTTTTTTTATAACAACCATATGTCGTATATTTAAACATTTGATTATAAAACGGTGCCCTGTATAAGTGCAATCTGAAAATCAGCGTTGAAGATACATCAGTCCAGCAAAAACTTAATTTAGAAAAATCTAGTTTTTTAAAAAAGCGACAGGTCAGTTTGTTTGTTCTCTTTAGCTCTTGCATTGCGAATGGGCGGTGGAAGGATAAAAATGACTATTAAAAAAATTCTCAAATTTAAGGTTATTTGAATAAAATACTTTCTTTCTCTAAATAAGTTTCTTATAAGAGTAACGTGTGACGCAAGCGTGCGCGGGATAAGCGGAGCCGCTCTGTCTCAATTTTCCGCTCATAATTTTTTTCGTTCTGAGCAATTATCAGGGTTGCTCCTCTTAAATCTAGCTCTAGTATTGTATATTATACAAGTTTTAGACACTAGAATACACAATAGAATCGATGTTGAGTACATTATTAAAAAAAATACCGTAACAAATGACAGATATTTCTTGGTAGTATTTCAGGTATTTCAGGTTTGATTTGTTTCTTGTTTATCCGTATGTTTAACGTGATAATACTCGTATATAAAAAAAATATCTATAACGTTATGTAAAAATTTATTAATAGTAATACTAACTAATAATATCTGTTTAATACTATTATGTCTGAGAGACAGCAGATAGCGTGTTATTAGTGTTAGATACGATTAGAATTTACCTATACCAATTTTTATGATTATCATTATATAACTTTGTTAAAGAAAAATAGGCAGACTGGTATCATTTGATTCAAATAAAATTCTATACAGGCTTAATGATAAATCAGTAGTTGTCATCATCATAAGCTTGGGGTGATCTTAAATAACCTCGTTCCTCTCGTTTTTCCTATAAACTGGTTTTATTAGTACACGAACTTAGATTATAAAGATAGAGTGTCTTCATACAAATGCTTCGAGAAAAGTGGGTCAACTTTTTCATACAACTTTGCGTGATAAATAGTTGAGTGATTCCTTTTTAACTTCCATATTTATTTTGTCTTATAATTTCTGCATCTTTTTAATTTATTTTATTTATTAAATAATATGTCAAGATACATTCTATGTGTAAGTGTATAGAACACTGATAAAAAAAACGAGTCAAAAAGATGACCCGCTTTTGAGACTCGATGTTCTATTTATATATTCTAACTATACGAAGTAGGGAATTATTACTTACATTGAGATAATACGAGTATCATTGGAAAGAACATATCAGAAAAAAATGTGTTATTTATTGTTTTTATATTAATTTTGTAAATGACTGTGACTATGTCTCACATATGAATAAGGAACGGTTTCGATTTAAAGGGAAGTAGGTACCTATATGACGGTGAAAATACTGAGTTTCGTAGTGACTATGGATGCATAATATTCAAGTCCAAAGGAACGGCAACGCATGATAGTTTTCTTGAGTATCAGTTTATTCGGTCTCAGATCTTAAGGGTTGCCACTTGTTATCACGTGAGTCGACGTTCAACTGATGTGCTAATTGACTTTATTTCATTCTCGTCTATCCTATTAGTTATCATTGACAGCCCGTTAGTGAAACAGGCGGGTAATCATTCCATTTTTATTCATTAACAAAAAAACTAGTAGGTAGGAATATAATAATAATTTCACCTGTAACATTGTCAAGAGCTGCCAAAGCAACCAGTGGGAACAAGTCGATGTCGCTTCCGTCCGCAATTTTTCCCAATTTCTTGCGCAGGATTCGCTCGTTCTTGAAGAATACCGGTAAGAAATTTTGTAGGATGTTGAAGTGCAACGTCGGGGTCAGGAACTTGCGATGAGTCTTCCATCTATCTCCTATGTAACACCAGATAATACGATGTCAGAACAATTATTAAACAGAACATATTTGTATTATTATTAACTGTAACATTGATATTACTATCTAGGGTCAATGACATTCGTTGGGGATAATATAGAAGTTTGAAATTCTAGCTCTCTATTTTATTCTAGAGTACCTATAGTTTAGAGTACATACATGTATATATATATATATATATATATATATATATATGTATATGTATATATATATATATATATATATATATATATATATATATATATATAAATAAAAAAGTATTTTCTTAATTAGTAACGTGAACCATCAAATAACTGAAGCAAAGTTACCGACTAATCGTCAAGTTCTTGCAGTCCTCTTTTTTAGCATTCGCAAAGATAAATTGACTGTTAATGAAAGTGCAAATCTTGCCGTTCGAGAGTGTATTATATTCTGGGAAAAAGCTAGAATCCTTACTAGAGCTGTGCCTAACTGTGTAAAAAAACTTGTGGATCTTCACCGTGCCTGGAGAGTTACAAAAAAATTTAAAAAAACGCAAGATGTTTACAAGCTCCGTGAGGACTTTCAAACAATTTAGATAATTTATTTGATATAGCACATGCTAATGCTTTGGAATGGATAAAAGTAGAAGATAAATTTTTTTTACAAAAACAAAGAGATCTAGGGCGTCCAAGATGTTTAGCGAGAGTAGATAAAAAGTTAGCCGAGAAAGAAGAAAGAATATGACAATGAATTAAAAGAGGAGAAAAAAAGACAAGAGCAAATGTGTTCTGAAAGTTTGTCGTCATCTTTAACTACAGAAGATTTTATCGAAACGCAAGAAAATCCTAATCAACCTACCAGCTCTGACGAAAGCCTTGCAGGATCCCTTGTCATCGACATCTCAAATGGTAAGTTCTGTAACAACTTCAAAAAGAGGAAGAAAAGACTTCATCACTCCTAAGTTAGTTGCCGCTTTAGATAGATGTCAATTGAGCATAAGGGACTCTGTCTATATACTTCAGGCTGTAAAAGCTGTGATGATTTCCCGATAAATAAATCGTCTATTCAACGCATTCGCACACAGAGTAGAAAAGATAGAGTGGAATCAAGCCAGGTGGGTGGCTAGAGCCATTTACTCTTTGAAAATATGTCTGTTGCAATCTTAATTCAAAATTAGCGCTAAGGATAATTGAGCCCTTCAAGACATTTGTTTATTCATTGCGGTTATATATGTAAAATCATGGCTTGTAAGTAGTCTGGCGATCAAGGCACCAAATCATGATTTGCGCTTTTTAAAAAGACTTAAGGAATATGAAACTGTTAATAAAGAGATTTCCAAAGTAGCCCTGAGCAAGTTTAATCAAACCTTTGGTAATTGTCAGAAGAAATAGCTGTTCTGTAGCTATTACTTTTTGATGATGAAGTAGATGAACAAACTAAGACAAATATTGTAGCGAACGTACAAAGAGAGAGTTTGTATGATTCTGTAAAGAGATACATTCCATCGAAAGAAGATGTGTCTGATTATTTGTATGGTAAGTGGAAATACATAATGTTTTCGTATGTTTTCGCGATTGTTACGCATATAAATTAAATAACTTAATACGGTTTTATCGCGTTTATCAGATTTCTAATCCTGACCTGACTGAAAAATGTAATAAACCCGATAAAACCGTATTATTTAATTTGAATGAAAATTCATAGTTCCTTCTTAATAAACTGATAACAATATTATCTTGTCTTTTATTGCAGGAAAATCATTAAATGATTTTGTGTCTGTCAAGAGCACAAATTTATTTACGCGTTTAAACATTGATACAAACTTCTTGAAGGAACCCGTTTTTATACATTATTCATGTATGATTACACAAATAAACAACAATGTTTCGGTTTGAAGGGTAGAATATAGTAGTACATAATATGAATATTGCGTCTAAATTGCGCCCACCATGTAACCTTTTGCATAGGCATATCGTCACTCGTATCCAATAGTGAGGACGGGATGCCTTAAATACTGTACTGCGAACCATAAAAAAAATTACAGAATATGAAGGCCATATTCCTCAGGTATGGCAAGGCATGGGAGGCACCTTGAGCTTAGTAGTTACTCTGTGATGACTATAGTAACGGTTACAACTCTCCATAAGGTAGGCCATCAGCTTGTTTGTCATTCCAAGTTTTATAAAAAAAGACTATATATATATATATATATATATATATATATATATATATATATATATATATATATATATATATATATATATATATATATATATAACCGAAGCAAGGTATTTTCAACGAGATTTGTTCTTACATGAATTTTCATAACTTAATTTAGTGCGATGTGCGAATTGGTATATTTTTTTATATTAAAATATTTTTGAATGGAATTGGTTTATGAATATGTTGATTATTTATATGAGCCTTGTTTCGCAATCTTATTCGTAAGATATGTACTTATGCATAATGCAAATTAATTAAGTATATATTTTCACGGTCAAACTGATTTGTGATTTGGTCATACGATTCTTTATCAAATATGTTTTAAATAATGAGACATAAATATAAATACTAATATTGAGTGTACAGTTCATAAAATAGCTAAGCAAATAAGAAATTATTATATTTGAATTGTTCATATGTCAATTTTACCTCTTCAAAGGTTTATTTTTGAATTGCCGTCACTTATGATCATTGCAAACATGTGATTTCTTATTTATTAGTATACTCTGCATACAATTACATAACGACTATTTAATAGTTACGTTAGATTTGTATGCAGACTGGTATCAGTTATTAAAAAAATTGTTAAGATAAATATCCGTCAAATTAAGTTACGAGTATAATTGTGTTCAATAAGTTAATTAAGTTACCTGTTTCCATTTTTTAATTACCAAGGGTCATAATTATATGGGAGATATGATGGGCGAAACAGTATACTCTGTTATGTCCATGGTACTGCTCATGTCTATAGGCGACGGTTACCATTTTCCATCAGGTGGGCCGTCAGCTTGTTTGCCATTAAGTTGTATAAAATATATATATATATATATGACCATGGTCTTGACATTTCATTATTATATTTAACATTTCTAAAGCCTATCTGCGGCTACTAATCCGCCTGCCAATCGTAGCAATTACTGGCAAAACCCCCTAATGGGAGGTTTATTTTCAGCAGTGGACAGTTAAAGGCTGATGTGAAGACCATATAAATATAGTATGGTTTAGAAAGTGATAGTAAAAAAATAGAAAAAGTGTAAATTTTTTTACCATCACTTTAAGTCGTGCGATTTAGTGACAGCTAAAAATAACAATATAACACAAAACCTAGAAACAAAGGATTAGAAGAGAGTCAGGTTTTTAAAAAAACACAAGTAATTAATCATCGTTTCTTATCGGAATTATGGATATTTGGCTACGCTCACTTAAGTTACATAGGACTATGTTTAGTCCTAACCGGTTAGTGCACCTTGGCATGTCCCTCGAAGCGTGCACTAAATGTTGATTAACCTTATTAAGTGAAACGCACAAGTTTTATCCAGTTTTGCAATGTTGGTCAACTGTGATGACTTAAATCTTTATTCAAATACATTTGTTTATATACTCTTTTAAATCGTAATTCTATTGTGATTCTAATGCCGGGTTCAGAATGTTATTAGTATTGCTGTATTTAATATTGTTACTGTGATATAAAAGTATATTTGTAGTCTAATAATAAAATTAATTATATTAAAATTTCTTATCAGGCAATATGTATCTCAATTTATTTATTTTTATAATTGAACTGTCAAACCTTAAAATCATTGAAATAAATTTCTATTCTAAGTAGTATATTCATTTATTTTAACATCCATTGTATAAGTAGGTAGATATTATATTTATTTATAGTATATGTATTTATGTAATATTTTATTATGTATCTTAATATTTTATTTAACTGTATATTTGTTTATGTACACTAAATATTAATAGTTGTAGCACTTCAGCTGCCCGCTAGCAACATGTTTTCTAACTGCATTGGGTTGACTGGAAGAGATCTCTGTCAGAGATAAGTCCACCCTTGCTCACAATATTTATAAATGCATTAACATTGTAATTTACAAGTGCAATAAAGAATATATATATAAAAGAATATATATATGTACTGGTTAAAGGTTCACTCTTTATCTATCAGTAACTTAGTAGTCTAGAAAATAACTGTATTGGACCGTCGGTTCATTACAATAAATTTGAAGATCTTAGTTTATATTGCAATTATTGTAAACGTAAACTTTAACGTAGATATTTACCAGAAGGGAGACTTTATACAGAAGTCGTCTGCTTGAATACTTCTGTCTCATTCATGCTTCTATCGTGAAGTCGTTGGGTTTGCATGGCTGTGTTTCGGTTTGAAGGATGGTATATGGTAATATACTTATAAGGCACAGAGGCATAACACTTTTAGTCTTCAGGAATGGCAACGCATGGGAGTATCATGGGTATTCATGTCTTAGGGCGACAGTTATGACTTTCTAAGAGGTGGACCCTTAGCTTGTAAGTTAAAAAAAAAATTGTTTGAAATAGTTTTGATTTAAACTATAGTAATTTCCTCTTTGATATTACCTATAGGCCGCTCGTCTCATATTAATTGATCGAACTAATTGTCATTACATCATACATTAAGAATAGTACCTGAGGTACTACGATAACAATAAATAATTTGCATTAATTCCATAATTTAATACAATAATTACCATTGTTACTCCAATTATAGAAATATGTATGGCGATGACGATTTTAATGATTATTTGTGATGTGATTTGATAGTTACCATTAGCTGTGAGAAGCCCTTCACCCAGCCACGGCTTGAGGTATTCGTACGATCTGCCTTTTGATATTAACTCGGTGCTGGAGAGGATGTGCTAGATAAAAAAAAAGTATATTTAAATACCACTGGAAAAATTACACAGTGTAATACAATTTAATCAAAATATAAACGAACAAATAGTTAACTTGATCAAGAGACAGTCCGCTGATGATCAATAGTAGTATTACAAATAAAAAAAAATCGTTTCATTGATTGAATGTTCCGATTTGTTACTAGTTTTAATTAGAGGCGTTTCTTTGATAATTTCGACATAATTTTGTTTTTTTTTTTTTTTATTAAATTCCATTGAAACATGTGTACTATGAGCACCCAATAACTATGACAACTGCTTATGTATTTTTTTTTAGTATACTATACATATTTATTATACATGCATAGAAAAATATTAGATCAATTCTAACAGATATATACATGTTTATTTTATGCGGGAATCGAACGCGCGTTCCTCGGAAGCTGAGACGGTGTGTTAAACGACTATTCCACCAGTTGATTATAAATAATTAAAATTATAAAATAATTTATAGTCAATTTATAAAATAGTATATTCCGTTATTAGAAACAAATTACTTGCTTGTTTTTTAGATTTGTTATCCTTCAAAAGGAGTTACTAGTTTTTTTTTTTTTGTATACAATTATGATGGTAAAGAAGCATATGATACACGTCTGATGGTAAACGGGTTACTGTCTACTACAACATTATACTTAGATATGTTACTAGAACAATAATATACCTCAATTGTTTTGGGATCCACCACGACGATGTATCTTTTAGTTAGTAGGTAAATACTTAAAACATCTCCAAATTTTTTCGTATAATACACAAATAATTTCAAGAATTCTGAAACAAGAATATTGATAAGTGAATTGATTGGAAATTTAAAAGTAAATTAAATTTACGTTTAATTTAAGACACACAAATATAAGATATTATATAAATAAATGTGTTGATAATTTAATGGACAAAAAATTAAGGTATATCTATAATAGATTTAAGCTAATAGGGAGCTATTAGCTTCCTATATAAAATGTAATTATATAATAAGTATATAAATTATTTTCAATTAAGTGAAAAACACTGATAACAACCTAATAATGGTGGTGAGGGAAAAGGGATTGTTTGTAATGGGGAGGTTAGTCCCCCTTGCTATCAATATATCCTATCAGGTCGACGTGCACGCGGTTCCCTCTGGAAACCATCGTGACTAATTTTAATTTGATTTAAAGTTTTATTCCAATCATCTGGACGAGTAGCGGTCTTCCACCGTGCGTTTTTCAAGGCACTTTCTTCCACGCACAACCATTCTTTGGAATCAACTTTCAGCAGCAGTATTTCCAAACCGATACGATAACATAACCTTTAAGAAAAGAGTATATTCATTTTTAAAAAGCCGGCAGCACACCTGCAATGCCGCTGGTGTTGTGGTGATCATGGGCGGCGGTAGTCACTTAACAACAGGTAAGCCGCATGATCGTTTGTTGTAAAAAAAAGACGTTGAATTCGTCACAATGGACTAACTGACCTGCCTTTTCATCCTCACCAGTCATTTCTCACTGGTACCCCGCCCGTGTATACCGATAGCGCAGGTGGGGTTATCATTCCATTATCACCCATAAAAAAAATATATGGCGGTAGCCTCAATTTCTGTCATTTTGGATTTCAAAATGCTTGGAGAGTGGGAAAAGGGATTGTTAGCAATGGAGTATGACAGTCCCACGTGGTTCCCCTTGGAAACCATCGTGAACAATTCTTGTTGAATTCGTCACGACAGGCTAATTGACCTGCTTCATCCTCACATATCATCCGTTATTGGTGCCTCGCCGGTGTATACCGATAGCGTGGGTGGGGTTATCATACCGTTATCACCTATTAAAAAAAATGCTTGGAGAAATGTGGGCATGTTACGTTCATAATAATAAATTATGCCTTTGCCGCGGTCTTTTTTTTTTAATGAATGATATGGAATGGTAACCCTGCCTGCGCTAACGGTATACGCTGGCAGGGCATCAGTGAGAGATGATAGGTGATAATGAAAAAGCAGGTTGGTTAGTCCATCGTGATGAGTACATCTGGAATTCAGCACGATTGTTTCCAAGGAGAACAGGGTATATTGCTAGCAATGGGACTGGTAATCCGCATTACTAACAACCCTTTGCCGGGGGCCAGTTTGCAATCTATCCTTCTTAACACATTGTAGACGGGAAACATGTAAACTTGTTTGTCGCCTTTTAGTACTGAAACATGGGAGACGATAAAACTAGTTTTTTTTAATAGTTCCGACGTCAATAAATTATACGCAGTACTTCGCCCGTGTCATGCCTTGTTTACACGTTTAGCGCGCCCTATCGATACATAGTAAAAGAAATCGTTTTGTCGTTTCTTGTGTTTCAGTACTAAAAGGCGACAAACAAGTTTACACGTTACCCGCCTATAATTTGTTAATAGAAGAGAAGAGGATTTTATATTAACAATAACTGTCACACAGACACACTAATTGTTTTATTCTCAAGTTAGGATATTGTTTTTTTTAATGGGTAATAATGGTAACACCGCCTGCGCTATCGGTATACACGCGCGGGGTACCAGTAAGAAATGAGTGGTGAGGATGAAAAGGCAGGTCAGTTAATCCATTATGACAAATTCAACGTCAACTTAAGCACAATGGTTTTCAGAGGGAACCGCGTGGACGTCGACCTGATAGGGTATATTGATAGCAAGGGGGACTAACCTCCCCATTACAAAGAATCCCTTTTTCCCCACCACCATCATTAGGTTATCAATGTTTTTCACTAAATCGAAAATAATTTATATACTTATTATATAATTACATTTTATATAGGAAGCTAATAGTTGTCCATCGGGACGAATTCCTTAAAAATTAACCATAATGGTACCCAGGGTGAACCGCTTGGAGGTTGACCCATAAAGATATTGTTAGCAATGGGGTTGTTAGATCCCAGTGCTAATAATTCCTTTATCTCAGAAAATTGTGTTACGAAGAACTAGGAAATGAATTTTTGGAGGCACAAATTTGTAACAGTCGACAAATATATCGATTACGAATATACTCGTAGCTATTGAAGTCATCATACTTAATTATTATTATTATTTGAAGATTTGAATTTTTAAATTTATTATCTATACATAACTGTTGAGCGGACAAGTTAGAACTACTTATTGTCGATATATAAACATTGAGTTTATAATTACAAATTACCTGTTTCTTACGTTTCAAAAACAAACTTGCTTGCCATGAAATATACTTGTTTTAATTAAAAAAAAAAAAAAAAACTATAAATTGTTAATTGACTAGGTCAATATCTATAGCTAAATAGATGCCTAGGTAATTTCAAGGCTCATTTACATGGATATATTTAAAATATAACCTCTGCTCACACGATAGATAAATCTGCGGACAAATTTTTTTATCTTGTGAGCACATATATGTGTGCAATATAATATATTCGTATAATAAGAGCTATTTTGTAAAGTTAAACTCAAATTTCATTAGCAGTTCAGCGAGTGATTAATATTTGGTATTTTGTAAACGAGTAAAATCGATGTCAGCAATATTTCATGTAATAAACTATGGTACGTATGCTACCATTCTTAAGAACTTACTTCAGTTTTCAAGACTCATATCATTTTACATGCCATTTTCAAAGCTTACAGATATAAAAATATGAAATTAGATAAAGAAAAAATTAAGTAAAGGAAAGTTAAGTATTGCGAAATGAAGCGCGAACACTATTCTGTTAAGGAATAGTGTGGTAAATTATTTTATACCGAGGATTGTGTTTCAACCAATTACGGATTAATTAAGACGTAGGAAATCCAAAGAAACCTAAACAGACATTTTGTTGGTAAACGATTGGTAAACTATTCGCTATGTATTCTTTATCTTACTTCTTGTTTTGCATTTTATTTTCTTATTAATTCTAAATTCTGTTAATAAAATAATAAAACTGTGATTAAATAATGTCTGTGCATGTGAGATAATTAAGACAAAATGATTAATAATGGGGTCTTAATAAGAGCAATAGAAAGAATATTTTTTTTTAGAAATTTTGAGTGTATATCTGTCTCTATGTTTGTTCCGATATCACACAAAAACTACTGCAACAATATGGTTTCCACAGTTGTGTTCCTGAAGATTTATGCTTTATCGTGATTATCGTTATTTCATTGGTTTTTCAATCCTAAAATTTACGCTTACCAAGTACTGGGGAAAAATCTAGTTTCAAATAACATATCCCATTTTTTTTGTATATGTATATTTTTACAGCGACTCTCCACGGCTTCGCACGTTTTTTAATTAAGTACAACAGCTCATGTTACTCATTGATACTATAAATACCTTCCCACTTTTGTACTTTTACGGATTAATTTATTTTTAATTTTACATTCCTTGCCACAAGCAAGGAGTCGTACTTGACCCTGATATATTAATATTACTAATACGACACGTAGAAAGGTTTCTGTACCGGTTTATAAATTGTTAAACATTTACTTTATGAAAATTATGTAAGCTTTTATAATAAGCTTAATAATAAGTTCGTAATATATATGGTTATGAAGATATGAATCGATGCTGCGATGCAAATTGCATTTAATATCTTTTTTACTCAGATACTAATCAAATATATGAAACAACTGTAATTACATAAACGAGATTTTTTTCATATTCAGTACAAAAAAATGTATCAAATATTTTCTCTTTGTAACATTAGTTTGGACAAATCAAATGTAAAGAGTATTAGTACAAAAGGTATTTACTTGTAATAAACATATTATATAACAAAATGTGCCGTGTAGGTCCCTGCATTGCATAGGCCACCCCTTCCTTTCCCATGGGTATTGTAAGAGGCGATTAAAGGAACTTATGGTGTAGAGGGGCAACAGTGTCCCTCTTAAAACATCATCAAAACCAAACTGCGGTTTCTAAACCGCCTGCCAAGCGTGGTGACTACTAGGAAAACCCCCAAGGGAGAGACTTATAATCAGCAGTGAACAGTTAAAGGCTGATATGATGATGATAATGATTGTTAAAACAAAATAATTATAGAATAGTTAATTAATATTAAATAAAAAAGTAACAATAAAATTAATAATTAATAATAAGTAATTTTAAATATTACGTGATATATTTAATAATTCTTAATCAATTAATTTTTATCTTTAATTAATGTATTATATAATTAATAATTTGTGTACTTTATGATGGTGGAACAAATACTATACCTTAGTTTGTGCAAATAAATGATTGATTGATTAATTTTTAGGATTATGTTTTAATCGAAAGTTTACTCCTATATTAAAGATTTTTCTTTCGATTTAAGATATTTATTTCACAAAAGAATACAAGTATTCTTTTGAGCAATGAGATTATAGTTAACTAAAAATAACTGTATTATTATATTGTAACTGGAAGCAAACAAATGGCGGTGTACAAAAAAAAAAAGAAAAACATTTTTCTGAGAAAAATTGGCGGTATGTGTATTATACAGAGAAACAACTGACTTATTACCTATCGTCAGTCGCTCGAGTTTATTATTTGTATATATCTATATATATACATTAAAGATTTTTCTTTTTTTTTTAATCTACGTTTGAAAGATTTTTCTTGTAAGATGTTTTATATAATTATAGTCAATAAGTAATGAATTATTGCTAATGTTTTCCATAATTGTAAATTTGGTTATATGTTTATTATAAATTTATTTGTTATGAAATATTATATATACCTGCTATATAATTTATATATAAATAAAAAATGTTCCAATTTAATAAATATATAACAAGAAAAAATATATTTATACAAGTAAAAATTAAATGCTGTTATTTGATACGCACATATTAAAAATTAAAAAAAACATATCTAGAATTTAGGTAAAATACAGTTAGTATACTAATTTTTTCTGATAAATATTGAAAATAAATAGGAAAAAAATAAAATTAATTAAAATAAACTTACCCTCTCCACTCCCCATAAATAAATGAGCATTACCAAGTATTGGTAAAGGAAACGGGCCTTTTAGTTTTAACTTATGTCTGTCAATAAGTAAATTTATCCATGATACAAAGATGACGAATAACACAGTAAATAATAATATTAGGGTGATCATCTTTGGTCAGCTCTGGTGCACGTCTGTTCGATATGTTGGCAAATATACAACTGCCTATTGTTTATATAAAACAAGATTGTAGTGAAGCATATAATGTAGAATGGATAGTAACAAACTAGTGTGTTGTTTTTTGGTTATATATAGAAATATTATATATGGTACGGTCAGTACAAAAATAGCAACGAAGTCAACCAGCTCTCAAGATTGGTGATGTAAAAATCAGCAAACTAATACCGCAGACTAATTACCCATAAATTTGCATCACTTCGTGTCTGATTGCTTTTTTTTAGAATAGAATAATTCGTTTATATCAAACTTAATACAAACATAAAAATAGTTAAGTCTTGATAAAAATATTTGTGGGTATCCAATTAAAAAATTCCTTACCTCCCTTGCTAGTTAATAACTGTTATAATCTGTGATTGATCGCTGTCATATACTAGTACAGTGTTATATTATCTTTGCTAATGGTATTACGGTTCGATCCTTTTTCCAATTGGCGGAACTCCTAACGATCAGGTGGCGATTATCATGTTGGCCGTTAACTGACCACTGCTGAACATAGGCTTCTTCCTTGTTGGGTTTTGCCAGTAGTTGCCTTTGAAGATGTTTTAAGAGGGACGCTGTTGCCCATCCCTCGCCCTCCGCTACTCGCCTCTTACGACACCCACGGCAAAGGAACAAGCGACCCATGCTATACCGGAACCACACGGCATAGTATTTTTATTAATTTTAGCTTAAAAATATTAGCTTTTGCCTGTAACTTCGTCCGCGTGACCGCGATATGTTCACTGGCGAGAAATAAAATTACCTTATGTCCTTTTCCAGAACACATAAATTAATTGCCATTATAGCATTATTATATTTATAACAAGAATTGTAGTAAGAATAAGTCATTAACTAATAAATATTAGTTAATTAGTGTAATAATTAGTAAATTATTATAATATAATAATTATTCAAGTAAATATTATTTCATAAAAATATTAGTCAATTATACTTATAAACTACTAAACTTATTAGTAGTATTACTAAACATTGTCAAAAATTATTAGGAAAATTTATTAGACTTTAAATAACAATAAACAATAAAAATAACAATGTAATCGAATAATTGATACTGATAATAAGATTAAACAATAATACAAGTTTGTTAATTGTAAAGATCATATAAACGATATTTTAAATCTCATGATAACGTAATATAAAGGCGTTAAACTTGATGGTTATCAAGGATTTTGGCAAACCCGCCATTTTGTTAGACACACAACAGTTGGCTATTGCAATAATATCATCAATAGATGGAATATATACTCTTATAATGGCGGTTTCTCTAGTTGTACATCTAGAGTTTGACAGTGTTCCTTAGACGTGTATAAGGGCGAGGAGTTAAATGCGGTGTTTCTATATTAATCTACTTTGATTTTTTATATCTTTCACCATTCCTGCAAAGTGATGGTGAATTAGACAGGATGGTGCAAGTGGTGGTAGTTACAATAACCAAACGTGACTGGGGGAAGGGGAATGTTAATAATGGAACCTCCATTCATTTTCATCTCCATTTCCATTAAACAAAAAATACATTACTCACGAATATCTCTTTAATTTTAATGCTGACTGTACTAGATATTTCTACAAACAAGTACAATATATTTTTAGTAATTAAGATCGAAATCAAAATTAATGATTAAAACATATTGTAATTGTTTGGATTTTCTATTCAATTGCGTGACGTAAATTGGTCTTAGTTATAATCTAAAATGTAAGGTCGTATTTAATCTTGGAAGCGTCACTAAAATCGTCAATGTCAGTAAAGGAGAAATGAAAGACAAACTATATATAATAATGTTTATTTATCTGACAACTTTTTTGAGTACAATGAATCATTTATAATAATACCATAGATACATTAAAGTTGCAAAGAACTGGTGCCTAAACTGGTTATCCGAAGAACCCGTATCACAAGGCACCAGGACCCCTCCCTGGCATGAAATATATAATTGAATAGGGATACAAAAACCTTTCAAAAATTATCTTTCTTTTCTTATATATTTTTTTTTTATTTTAGATGATCATGTAAGACCCTTTCCAGCCAGTAAGCCGCACGTTTGTTTGATCCTGTGTTATAAAAAAAAATAAGAGCTATATCGATTTAAAGTTCACTCCCACTAAAATTTTTCTTACCTACCCTTATTAATCATAATATTATAGTAATTATTATACATTTAAATCTGCCGTTCTGAAACATTTTACTAAATAAATAATCATCCTCTTTAATACGAAGTGAATAAGCGTATATTCAAGCTTACTTATATATTTATGAGCGACGCCTTTTTATGTTCTTTTGGTTACAATAAATAAATTATTCCTTTTTTTTTCTGAAAAATTAATGCATGCCGTGGTAACCAGTGATTAAGCCAACACTATATACCTGAACTATTTGCATAAGATAAAAATTGTAAAAATAGATATCTAGTTGGTTGCTCTAATAAAAAAAAGAAAAAAATATATAAATATGAGTGAGTTTGTTTTATTCACCTTAATGGCTTAACCTAGAGGCTTAACTTAGAGCTGCCTAAGCAAACACCTCATCGGCGCCCCTCAAGCGGGCATTATATTAAGTATAAATTTTATCTGGTACTAGTAGTAAATATTGATGACTAAAGTTATGTATTATTTATTTAAAAATAAATACTTAACACATTCATAAAAATGTTAATGAAAATTAATTGTTAATAATATCGTTGTTTAAAAATAGCTATAATATATATTATATATATATATATATATATATATATATATATATATATATATATATATATATATATATATATATATATATATATATATATATATATATATATATATATATATATATATATATATATATATATATATATATATATATATATATATATATATATATATATATATAAACAGGGTCCATAATTGAAATGTTATCTACTAAGTATATTATGGAATAAGAAATAAATAAAAATATATAAAATATCTCTGACAGAGATCTCTTCCAGTCAACCCAATAAAGTATGTCGTTAGCGGGCAGCTGAAGTGCTACAACTATTAATATTTAGAATACATAAATACATATAAATATAATACCTACCTACTTATATAATAAATGTTAAAATGTAATAAATGATTATACTACTTACATTAGAAATTTAGTTTAATGATTTATTATTATTATAAAAATATAATAATAATATAATTTATAAATTATAAAAATTATAACTCAAGGGAAAGAAAATGTAATTTCAACCTTTTCTTGTCAATAAGAACATATATGTACTTACTAACAAATAATTTTATGTTACTCTTTTTTGTTTAAAAATTCGGTGCGCGCACTCATTTGTAACTTCAAGCCCTTATTCACGTGCCTAGTTTTCCTGAAGGATAATCCGCTTCTGTATACTCGTACTCTATGGGATGAAGGGGCTATAGGTTATTTGTTTATTTTTTATTCTGGTCCATAAACATATCCGGTCACGCGGAGGATGTCGCGGGTAAAATCTAGTATGTAATAATCAGATTTTTGTGAGATTAACTCATCACTTGTTGAAAATATTATTGTTTAACCTATATCTTCCAGGGGGAAAGGGATTGTTAAGGATCAGGTCGACCTCCACTCGGTTCCCCCTGGGAAACATTGGTAGAATTCCTCACGATGGGCTATAACTAACCTCTTTTCATCATCACCTGTTATCCTTCACTGGTACCCCACGCGTATGCCAATAGCGCAGGCAGGCAGTAAAATTACTTGAGACATTTTCAGATAATAAACGAACATAAATAGAGACATAAATTCTTAAAAATAACTGATTTCGGTTCTATTGCTCTGTGTGTAGGTACCTACATACTGTTTAACATGACCTTTGTATTTCATTACATAATACGTACATACAGAATCAATGTTATTTAGTTGAACGAGAGTAGGTATAATTATTATACTAATTATCCCAAATAGTGTTCGACCGACGGACTCTATTACGTTATCAAATGTTTTTAATACCTATGTTCATATTTACGATATATAGCACAATATTGTCGTTTCTAAAATTATTTCATAGCGAACATAGTAACCTGTAGAGAACAGATATTTATATAATTTAATGTATATGACATAATACACATACACACGCACGCACGCACGCACGCACACACGCACGCACGCACGCACGCATGCTTGCACGCACGCGCGCACGCACGCGCGCCCACACGCACGCACTCACGCACGCACGCACGCACGCACGCACGCGCACGCACGCACGCGCGCACGCACGCACGCACTCACGCACGCACGCACGCACGCACGCACGCACGCACGCACGCACGCACGCCCGCATTAAGCCCGCATAAGTATTTTGTAGCCATTACAATTGCGCGGGCGTTGGTAGTCAATGTATATCAAGATCGAGATAGATTAATGTTAAGCTGTCTAATATCTAGACTGGAGGTTTGTGTCCAGTTAACAGTTGTCACGTGATAGATAAGCAGCAACAGCCGGTACCAATACAAAATGTTCAATAAATATTATTGATACCCATCTCCTGTATTTTTTTACTATAAGGACTATTTGCTCTATTTAGATCTAAGAATAAGGAATTACTTAGAAGGAATGATAAAATTGTCAATTTATAGCAGGCTAGTGTATAGAAAACGTTATAAGATCGTATAATCCTACCAAATTCAGATACAACCTGCTTGCATACTTTCTACATAAACTGTGTCAAATATATAATCTAGTAATAAAATTTGTCATTGACTAATAATTGACATATCAAACATTTTCTATACACTAGCAACTACTATTATATTTGCATAAGAAGAAAGGAGGCAACCATATGATTTACGGTTTTTATTTTATTATTCCTTCTATGTAATCCCTTGTAATTGTATACCTAAGAAAGGTATATAATTAAACGATGAAATCACAATAGTGCCAACTTACAAAAATACTGTCAAATGTGATGCAAATGGCTGCCTACTATTCGTGACCGTTTTAACTTTGTATATTTCTTTTTATTTTGACGTGGTAATATGACTATATATAATTAATATTGAGTCTGTTAAGAAATCTATTCTAGAAATTGTTTATATATTACAGGAAGTGTTGAAAACGTGTATTTACTATCAATAATATTACGATATTGAGTTCTAATATTGTATAAAATAATAAAGGTATTTATGAATGTTACCTTTTGGTTTATTTTTGATAAAAAAATGTGCATCGGAACATGCAATTTGACATAAAATTCTAATATTTCTTCTATCGTGTTTTTACTATAAAACTTTTTACTATATAATATAATCATAACCCTATTCATATCCAATTTCAACATCGGGCTAGCCAACATAACAAAAGAAAGGAGTTTTTTGTGTACATTGGTAAGGTATTCCTGACCAAGTCGTTTTACGTGGCTGGATGAACTGCGTTCTTATATCGCTTGGTTATATACTAGAGATGTTGATGAGATGATTTTGTAATTCGATTAATGAGTAATTACTAATTTTAAAATCGACTACTAAATTAGTAATATACTAATTTCCGTATTCCAATGATTTTACTAATTAGTAACAAATAACAACAAAACCCTTCCTCTAAATCTAATACTAATTTCATTCCATAGTCTGTATCCATTACTGCTACATTACCATCTTAGTAAAAGCCGAAGATGAAGAAAACACTATCAAGTATTTACGCAAATTTCTACAAAAAACTATATATACTTTTATGGACAATTATTTAATAATAGATAATTTTTACTAAATTTAAATTGGCAATAGTCTTATCTATTAAAAAATCTACGATTGACTCGATTCGGCTATGTTCGTGTCGACTCGTACAGCAATAGCTACTAATGAATGATATTAATAGTCGGTTGATAATCATCATCTTCCTACCCTTATCCCAATCATTTGTGGTCGGCGTAATATGATTTTATCCATATTACAAAAAGACTTCGTTTTTAGTTTTACGACCGGCCACCTGCCTGACGTCAACCCTCTTTGCTCGGTTGATAATAGTAGCGGATAAATAAAATTAGTAGTCGAATGATTTGATAATCATTCGAATAATTCGATCGATTTGCTCAGTCGAATAATTAGTAGTCAGTAAAGTTGTGCATCGCTATAATATATTTTGAAAATTAATTTTTGTTCTCAGCTATATTAAAAATTTCAGTAAAATGTCATTTAATTTTCTTATAGGTGCAAATAAAACTGCTTCCGTTCTTAAAGGTAAATTATTAATGAACACCTATCGCCTAGAATTTAGGTTATAAAATTGTTTATCAGTGAGAGTAATAGGATCTTGAACTTTTGCAGAATTTGTTCGAAATGCTAGTAAGAAGACTGGTGGTAGCACGAAGAACACAAGCTGTAAAGTGAAACCAAAGCGTAGAGGTTGGAAAGTGCAGGATGGGCACTTTGTTGAAGCTGGACACATGCTGGCCACACAAAGAACAACTCGATTTCATCCTGGATTGAATGTTAGTTTGTGCTTTATTATCTGGATTTTTTGTTTTAAGAATCTTTAATTTACATAAGTAGTTATTTTAAATTTGATTTAGCAAGTGTTTACTAAATAAACTTAGCTATTTAGTAATGTAAATATAAAATACTCTTACAAGAAGTAAATACTGCATATAAGAAGTTACTTAAAAGAAACATATTTCTCTTAATTATATGTCTAATTGTCCAGAAAAGCGAATTTTGATTTTAATGTTATAAAAATATATATTTTTTTATGCAATATGGAATGAGAAAAAAGTGGCAACTGTCACCCATAGAATCAATTTTTATCAATTTATGAGTTAAACACAGTTTATATTATTCAGTGCTTTCTACTGTTTCTTTATAAAGAACATTCACAAAACGTGTTCTAATAGCATTTATTGAAAATGTTGATATGTATTAAATTGATCGGACTATAAGATGATTTGCTGATATTCAATATATACCAGCTTTTAACTATCTACCACTGAACTTGGCTTCTCCCGTAAGTGGGGTTTTGCTAGTAGTTGCCACATTTGGCAGGCAAGTGGGTAACCGTAGTTAGGCTCTTGGTGATATTTAGAGAGGTTTTTTTAAATGGACAACAATGGAATGGTAGCTCCACCTGCGCTAACAGTATACGTTGGCAGGGCACCAGTGTTTAATGATAGGTAAGAATGAAAAAGCTAGCCAGTTAGCCCATCTTATTGAATTCACCAGGAATTTAGAGCAATAGTTTCCAGGGAAGACCACATGGAGGTCTACCTGGTTGGGCATATTGCTAGCAATGGGACTGGCAGTCCACATAACTAACAATCCTTGCCCCTTGTTTAATAAGGTTGATAGAGGAGAGGATGCTGCTGTCCATCCCTTGATCATTTAGTTCCCTTAGCACCTTTTACAACACCCACTTGAAAGGAAGGTGTGGCTCATTCTATCCCAGGACCATATAGCAATAATAGTATGCACAATTCATAAACTAAATAATTATTGAATGTGTTAATCTGTTAATAATTTAATTTCAGTGTAACTTTGTCATAAATATTTTTGTGACAAATTCAACAAAATTTGGTTTCCTTTTCATTAAGCTCTATTGGAATAGTTTAATCTTATTAATATTATAAAATTGTAACTAGACAATGTCCATACATAGGAGATATTAAAGAAAAAGTGATTTAAGGTGTTTTAACAAGAGCAATTGTCACATAATCTAGAATAATAAATTTTGAGATTTCATGTCTGTATGTTGGTTCTGGCATCATGCAAATACTACTCTACGAAATTGACTACAGTTTCAATAGCTGTGTTCCTGAAGATTTAACTTAAACTCTGTATATCAAGATATATTTAGAAGAATTTAGTTACTATTTAGAAGTGATTTATTGCAGTGGTTTTATTGGTTTTCCTACTTCTGAAATCTACATAGATACAAAGTAATAAGCAAAAAACCAGTAATATTTATGTATGCATTATTTTGGCAAATGTTTTCTAACAACTTTTAAAAGTACTATATTGATTGATTTTGAATTATAATAAATGTGTGAAATAATAAAATAAAAGCTGTGATTGTTGCGAATTTTGTTTTAAATTGTCATTATTTATTGTACAGGTTGGATTTGGTCGAAATGGAACTCTTTTTGCTATGGAGGCTGGCCGCGTGGTGGTGACATGTGAGAAGTTTGATCCCAATTGGGAGCATACATGGGTGCAGCGCTTATACGGTGGTCGTGAACAACAGACAATACTGAAGAAATATTTCAATGTTATACCTGAACCTCAACACCAGAGATTTAAGCTTATTGATGAAGTTTAAACAAGCCAGCTGTAATAATAGTCTGATCCTTAAAATGATTTTGTATAACCTAGTCAATGAAGCCGTTTCAGTGTGTTAATATTGTGCCTTCATTAGAGGGCGTCACTTGAATTCAGCAGGTTATATGAAATTATACATTTAATTGACTCACCTCAATGCATTGTTGAAGACACTGATCTGTTATTGAGTAAAGGATTTGTTAGTCCAAATACTAATTTTTTATAAAAAAACTGATCAGTGTTCAGTATGTTTAGATAATCTGTAAATAGTTAATATAATAGTAATAAAATCTAAATATAAAAGTTAAATTGAATTGTTTTATTTATTAATTTTATTAGCCAATATTTTAAATTACATACTAAGTTTCATTATGTAAAAAACGAAATTTACAGAATTTCTCAAATTGTATCTATAAATTTAAAAATGACATCTAGAGAATTTCCCAAGAACTACAATTTATTTGAAAAATATGGAACTGCAATAATTCAAGTGAGTGTTAACAGAGGGCGCTTATAGTTTTTAATGGAGAATGGAGATTATTTATGATGAAATGACCAAGATGCAGTGGTAGGAACGTTGCTTAGCATTAACGGTTTCAGGTTTGATTATTGGTTGGACCTATTTCAGAAAGGTTTTTTTTTTAAATAAGTTTAGCTTGGAATGTTATAGGTGCTTATCTAGAACACCATTAGCGTTATAAAAAGCTAAGTATTTTATTTGTTATAGACTTTTATTGACTGTTTTAATTTTACGATATATGACATGGTATATTGCTAGCAATGGAATCTAGACCTAGTTTCTAGCAATATCCTGTCGCCCTCGTACCTAATTATTTTTTTATGATTATTTTATTGGCTGTCTTATGTGAATAAAGGCATGTATGTAATATAATATTCTGAAAAGAAATTGTTAGTAGTGGGTATTCGCAACTCTATTGCTAGAAGGGAAAGAAATTGTTAGTAACAGGGACCTAGCAATGAGGCTGTTCTAGTAATACAGCATATCAGGTCGACCTCCATGCGGTTTTCGCTGTAAATCATTTCGGTAAATTTTAGTTGAATTCGTCACGATGGAGCAACTGGCCTGTTTCATCTTAATCTATCATACTTCACTGGATCTCCGATAGTGCAGGTTGGGTTACTATTTTCACTTATAAAAACCCCATTGCTTATTTATATTGGTATACCATATCAGGCTGACGTCTACGTGGTTCCCCTGGAAACCAATATGATTGTTTTATTGTTGAATTGGTCACGTTGGGCCAACTGACCTGTTTCATTTTCACCTATCATTATCTCTCACTACTGTCCCTCCAGCGTATACAGATAGCGTAGGTGGTTTTTTTTAATGGGTAATAATGAAATAGTAGCCCCTCCCGCGCTATTGGTATACACTGGCAGGGCACCAGTGAAGGATGATCGGTGAGGATGAAGCAGACCAGTTAGCCCATCGTGACGGATTAAATAGGGATTGTTCACGATGGTTTCCAGGGGGAACCACGTGGAGGTCGACCTGATAGGGTGTATTGCTAGCAGTGGGTTCATTAGACTCCATTACTAACAATCCACTCCCCCCCGCGAAGGCGGGGTTACCATTACATTATAATGTACTAAGAACCAATCCATTATCATTTATTAATAGAAAAATATATATAATATACCTAAATAGGGGGGACAGGGATTGTTAGTAATGGAGACAAAATCCCATTGCTAGCAATATACCCAACCAGTTCGATCTCCTCGCGGTTCCCCCTGGAAACTATCATGGTTAATTCCTGATGAATTCACCATGAGAGGCTAACTGGCCTGTTTTTCATTCTCATCTATCACCCTTCACTGGTGCTCCGCCAGCGTATCCCGTTAGCGCAGGCGGGGTTACCATACCATTATCACCCATTAAAAAATTATCTAAATAGAGGAGGTATATGTATATACCTAAATAGGTCCCTACAAGTTGGATGTAATAACTTTGCATTTTACATTCGTAGATACGTACTATGTACACACGCTGCAATGTTATATGAAGAAAATGGGAGCTACCGTGAGTTAAGGACAAATTTTATTGGTCTAATAAATATCCCGTGGTTGGGTATAAATCGCAAAATATTGCCGACTGGAGCGCTGTATGGCTTTAGAAAATATTCAGTTTAGTTGGATTTAGCTGTTTTGTCATTGTGCGGGTTTTTAAATTAATTTATGGTGCTATGAATTTGTTATTTTCTTTACAAATTATTACCTAGTAATACTTGACTTTTTTATTTTGTGACATACGTTAGACAAGTGAACTACAACAAGCTGGTCACATAGCTTGAAGAACAAATAACTGATGAGGAGGAAAGGTTCTTGAGTGGCGACTCTGTACTGGCAAACGGCCTCAACAAATAGGATGACCTCCCACTAGATTGTAGGGAGTCAGTAGATATAGGTGGCATAGGAATGTTCCTTATCTATGGGGGAGGCCCGTGATAAACAGTGGACGGATAATGGCTGAGATGATGATGATGATGATGATGATTGGACAACTATGAAGTAATCATTAATTAATGATTTTTTTATACAACTTAGAATGGCAAACAAGCGGACGGCCCACCTGATGGAAAGTGGTAACCATCGCCTATAGACATGAGCAGTTCATGGACATAACAGAGTATACTGTTTCGCTCATGATACCCCCCCATGCGATGCCATGCGTTGACTCAGGTGTTATTCCTTTGTACCCTGTAAATTCACGCCATATCACACCCTTCAAACCGAAACACAGCCATGCAAACACATGATTACTACATAGTTGTCTTTTATAAAGTTTTAGATACATTATGTACCTATTTGTTTTTATTTTATTTTGAAGTTCCCCTTTCAAATAATATTTTCTTAGGTAAGTACCTAAATAAACACGATCATCCATACGAACAAATAAGATCCATTATAAATGCAATGAATTTCTTTCGTTGTATATTTTGATCTTCTTGGAAAAATATTAGGGCTACCGTTGTCCATGAACACTTTTTTTTAATGAGTGATAATGGTATGGTAACCCCGCCTGAGTTATCGGTATACACTGGCGGGGTACCAGTGAGAGATGACAGATGAAAGTAGGTCAGTTTATCTCACCTTGAAATTAAACTAGAATTAACCACGATGGTTTCAGGGAGCACCACGTGGAGGTCGACTTGACAGGGTATATTGCTAGTAATAGGGCTATTTGAGACCATAACTAAAAATGAATACCTTGTAACAAGGGTGTAACCACGAACAGCAAAGCTTCATAGAATCAATTTATTTAGTTTAATTTCTTTTTAATATTACACTTAAGGATGAATATCAACGGATAGGTTTGTGTATCTACAGTTATGCTTACATATTTCTGTAGTTAATCGATAGGTAGGTAACCAGTAGGTACAGATATTACTACATTTGGCGCCATATGTAAGTAACAGGAGCATAAAAAATCACAGGTAGGGAGAGGAGATTGCCGATTTTCCGGAGTTGTAATGACGTCCGGCCGGTCCGGATGTTGACCGGTCCGGACTGGAGCCAGTTGGAGCTTATCAGTGTGCCCGTGAGTTTAAAATATAAGATCGGGCTAGAAATTGGCCTGTACATTTGCTGTTATACTCGTATCTACAGATTTTTTTTTATTCCATGATGATATTTAAAATCGCGTTATAATTACTCATAAAAACTGTAACGTCCTACAAACCTATTTTAGTTGTTGAAGTGTTTTGCCACTTTCTTTCAAATTGAGAAATTAGCGTAAAAATTAACGTTTTCATAAATAATGGGGATAATATTTAACTATAATAGGAGTTTCTTGATATTACGAGTGATCGAGTTTTTTCGAATGGCTTAACATATTAATTCGCAAAAATGGCAACACATGTTGGGTATCTACCATGAATATCAGCGTATTCTGTGATGCCCTAGATATTCTTTATGTTTACTCATTAGATTATATAGATAGAACGTATCCATAGAAATACTTTGAGAAAAACGGGTTAACTTTTTTATACAATTAATTATGCGTGGTAAATAGTTAATAGTGATTACTTTCCAATTTCTATATTTATTATGTCATAATATTTCTGCATCTTTTCAATGCATATACACTTATTTTATTTATTATATAATATGTCTAGATACATTGTATGTGTAAGTATATAGAACACTGATAAAATAACGAGTCAGCTAATTTGACAATTAGATGACAAAAAGTTGGCCGGTATTTGAGGCTTGATGATCTATATAATCTAAAGTCTATTCGTATAGGCCACGTTACTATTTTTCATCTGATGGGTCGTCAGCTTGTTTGCCACTCCAAGTAGATATCACATAAAAGAATAATAACTTCGCACGTGCAAATCGAAGAGCAACTGGGGTTACCATTCCATTTTCATCATAAAAAACGAACCTGTGTGTGTATGTTGACGGAGTAAAAATACAAATGTGTCACCATTCATTTTGATTCCCATGATATCGTTAGAGTCGAATAAGGGGAACAAAGCACAATGCAACAAAGTACAAGAAAAGAAACATTTGAAATAAGTTCCTGTACTAAGCTGAATAATAATATGGAATAAGTAATACATTCCAGTAATATCTTTCATGAGAGATTGGCTTACCGTGTAGTCCCGGCATAGAATAGGCCATCCCTTCTTTTACCGTGGCAGGAATTGGTAGCAACTTCTTTGTTAGAACATCATCAAAGCCTAACTGTGGTTGCCAGCACGCCTACCAAGCGTGATAGCTACTGCCAAACCCCTCTAATGGGGGTGGCCTGTTGTTCAGCTGTGGATATGGCTGATATGATGAGGATGTTGAGTGACTCGGATTATCCCAGCATTAGAAAATTAATAGATTCATTTGGATTACATGTATATAATCCCAAATATATACATTAAAGGTTTTCATATTCATCATAAAAATACTTGGTTAAAATTAGTTGTACCTAATATTTCCTTCTTGTTCCCCTGTGGCATATATCATTTTGGATGATAATGCTAGGAGGGTGAGAATTTATAGTAACAGACTGGCTTTGATACTACGTGCCGTTTGTTTATTTAGAAAGAGCACACAGTTGACTTCTCATCGTAAAGAAGCTACGCCGACCCCGTTGGTAATAATATGGAAATACTCAGGTTTCGTTTTACAACTTAATATTTGCATTTCTTGAACAGTTATTGAAGGAACGGTGTAACTTGTTTAGATGTAGAAAGCATTATTTTTTTAATTCTATTTCTTTATTTCGACTATAATTAAGAGAGTGTGGTGCTATCTGGTTTCAAAAATGTCTAGATCACCTTCGTTGTATG